AGCGTGTGCAGGGGAGGAGGGACGGGACATGCTGAGCATGTGCAGGGGAGGAGGGATGGGACATGCTGGTGGTCTTGAGAAACCAAGATGTCACCGCCAAAGGAACATCAGACCGTTCGCTCTGGCCTTGTCCTGGCCGATGAGCAAAATGAGCCCCTGACATGTGGCAGGGTTTGCTCAAGTCTCAGAGCTGCTGAGTCCCAGCAGGCTAGGACCAGAGCCTGGGCCCCTTGACTGGAATCCGTCCTCTGTTCACTCTGCTCTCCAAAAAATAAACCCGGCCGGCGTGGCTCAGGGGTTGAGCGTCGACCTAGGAACCAGGTGGTCACGGTTCCATTCCCAGTCAGGGCATGTGCCTGGGTTGTGGGCTCGATCCCCAATGAGGGGCGTGCAGGAGGCAGCAGATGGGTGATTCTCTCTCATCGTTGATGTTTCTATTTCTCGCTCCCTCTTCCTTGTCTGAGATCAATAAAAATGTATGTTTTAAAAGAGGAAGAGGAGGCCAAAACCGGTTTGGCTCAGTGGATAGAGCGTCGGCCTGCGGACTGAAAGGTCCCAGGTTCGATTCCGGTCAAGGGCATGGACCTTGGTTGTAGGCACATACCCGGTAGGGGGTGTGGAGGAGGCAGCTGGTCGACGTTTCTCTTTCATCGATGTTTCTAGCTCTCTATCCCTCTCCCTTTCTCTCTGTGGAAATGAAATAAAATATTAAAAAGAAGAAGAAGAAGAAGAAGAAGAAGAAGAAGAAGAAGAAGAAGAAGAAGAAGGAGAAGGAGGAGAAGGAGAAGGAGGAGAAGAAAAGGAGGAGAAAGAGAAGGAGGGTAAGGAGGAAGAGGAGGAGAAGGAGGAGAGTTACCCAGAGAGACAGATCACAAGCCACCAAACCAGAGGAAACGTGAAATAAGTGATTATTCACTTATTCAACCCATTTTTTGTTGAGCATCTACTAAGAAGGAGGTTCTGGGGATAGAGCAACGAACCCAAAAGGTGCCTTGTGTCTGTTCCCATGAGCCTCCGGGAGGCAGGAAGACAGACAATACCAAAGGAAGCAAAGAACCACGCGATCGGATCGCTCGTGGTAATGAGCGCGGTGGAAGGACTCAGGGGGAAAATGGAGGCGGAGCAGGGACGGCTCCTAAGGATGTGGTTTCCCAGCTCAAGTGGGCAACGACAGGAAGGCACGGAGGAGGGGCGTGGAGGGCTGATGCATGATTCTGTCTCATCATGGATATCTCTATCTCTCCCTCCCTCTCCCTTCCTCTCTGAAATAAATAAATTAAAAAAAAATTAAATTAATTTCAGAGAAGAAGGGAGAGGTAGAGAGAGAGAGAAATCAAAACATCAATGCTGAGAGAGAATCGTGGATCGGCTGCCTCCTGCATGCGCCCCCCCCTCCCCCCCACCCCGCACTGGGGATGGAGCCCACAACCCTGGCATGTACCCTTGACGGGAACTGAACCCGGGACCCCTCAGTTCTCAGGCTGATGCTCTTATCCACTGAGCCACACCAGCGAGGGCTGAAATGAATAATAATAATAATAATAATAATAATAATAATAATAAAAATAATAATTAAAAAAAGTACCGCTGATCCTCACGGGGACCGATGTGCCCCTCCCCCTCTGCGGGAGAATCAGGGCTTTATGACTCACAGGAATCACCTCGAAATCACTGACTGGAAACCCCGACTGCAGCAGAGGGATCGCCCGGCTTTGCCAGATTCCCCATGTGACCCAAGCGTGGCCACCCGCCAGGGAGCCGGAGGGAGGGAGGGAGGGGGGGGGAGGGAGGGAAGGCCACTCGCCTTCCTGGTCACACAGATTCCCAAGCCCCGTCCCCGCATGACAGGCAGCTTGGGCTTCGGGGGAGCGGTCTCCAGGGTCGATCTGGCTTGGAGGAGAGCAGCGGTGGAGCCAGAGCGCTGGGAGCATCCTCTTCTGGGGGAGCTCCCCCATCCTTCCGTGGGGGGGGGGGCGTGTCCCGAGGCCCTTGGGGTGCAGGACGCTACCACCTTCGCCATCTGCTCCTGCATCCTCCTCGGGGGACCTCAGGGCGTGCAGGGGATCTGCCTTGGCCATCGGAGGGGGGGTCCGGCGGCGGGACTCAACTGTGCGTGTCCTCTGACGCGGGGACGGGGATCCTGCCCGAACTCAGCTGAACAGAAGCCAGGATCGAACCACAGGCGAGCGGTCCAGGGCCCGGAGGCCTGTTTCTCTGCAGGAACCAGGGGATGTGGCCGTGAGCATCCCTGCAGAGGGACTGCCGGAGGGAGAAGGCTCCCTGAGCTCCTGGAGAAGGTAACACCGTGTGGGCGGGTTCACGTTTTCTTTTCTTTTCTTTTTTCTTTTCTTTTATTGATTTTCCACAGAGAGGAAGGGAGAGGGATAGAGAGCTAGAAATGTTGATGAGAGAGAAACATCGATGAGAGAGATACATGGATCAGCTGCCTCTTGCACACCTCCTACCGGGGATGTGCCCACAACCAAGGTACATGCCCTTGACCGGAATCGAACCTGGGACCTTTCAGTCCACAGACCGACACTCTATCCATTGAGCCACACCGGTTTCAGCAGGTTCACGTGTTTCTGAGGCTTGCCGGTGCCAGCCGAGGGTGTGGCGGCTTGGGGTGGGCAGGCTGGGTGCCCAGCTGAACCCACGGGGGAAAGGGGGTCAGCAGGCGGGCTCCGGGCATCCTGGAATTCTCGGGAGCTTGCTCAGACTCTCTCATCACTGATGTTTCTCTCTCTCTCTCCCTCTCCCTTCCTCTCTGAAATATATAAATTATATAAATAGTATACATGCACACATATTCATACATAAGACAGATGATCAGGAGAAAAAAAACAAATTTAATTTCAGATGTATTGGGATTTTAGGAAAATACAAGCCCCCAAAGGCAGTCAGCCAAAGAACGGAGCTGAGGAATGGATTAGGGGCTCGGGGCTTCTAATGGGGAGCAGGCCAGTTGATAGGAAGACAAGGAGAGCAGATACTGGGACAGCAGATGTTTGCCCGGCCAGACACGGGAGTCTCTCAGATAAAAGGCTTATCTGTGGCAATGGTGCTCTTCCTGGCGCAGGCTCCCTATCGGAAATCTTTCAGGCAGTTAAAGGGGCGGCCCCAGTTTCCCCTACTTGGGCTGGGTCTTGATTGCCTTCGGCACAAAATAAGCCATATGCCAAAGCGGCACATTTTGGGGGTGGCATATTCTTGAGGTTTTTAAAAATATATTTTATTTATTTATTTATTTTTATATTATTTTTTTTTTTTTACAGAGAGGAAGGGAGAGGGAAAGAGAGGAACATTCGATGAGAGAGAAGCATCAATCAGCCACCTCATGCACACCTCCACCTGGGGATGTGCCCGCAACCAAGGTACATGCCCTTGACCGGAATCGAACCCGGGACCCTTCCGTTTCCAGGCCGATGCTCTATCTAGTAAGCCAAACCGGCTAGGTCTCGGGTGGCATATGCTGCTCCCCTTTAGGATGTTGCCCATCCCTGGAGTATTTGCATTTTAAAAGTTTATTAATTGATTTGAGAGGAACACACACACACACACACACACACACACCCTGATGGGCCACCAGGGATCAAACCAGGAATGGAACCCGAAACCTTTTGGTGGGTAGGATGATGCTCCACCCAATGGAGTTACACTCTCTGGGACCACAGATTTGCATCTTTAAAGATCGCCAGAGGAAGTGGGCAACCTGTGCCCAGAGGCGTGAGCTAGTAATGGCTGAACTTCAGAGTTCAGGGGGAGAACCCCTTCAAACCACATCTCGGGGCAATTAGCACCTTGCTTGTTATTGAGTCAGAGAGGAGTGGGAGAAATTAAAAGTTGCATTTGGTATGCAGCTTAAAGGAAAATTATTTCTATTTCTTTTTAAAAAAATTTCCAATAAGAAGAGTTTATTTAGAAGGCCACAGCGGTAGAAATGAGCTGTAGAAGGAATGGGCTTGGGAAGCAAGTGACAGAAGCCAGACCAGGGGGCCCTTGGCGGTTAGGAGAGAGAAGGACAAAAGTTCCCCATGCCTGGGCTGGGAGCGAGGGGGAGGGGAAAGGCGTGGCCCACACTCTGGGCCCTTCTTTCACCCTAAGAGCTTTTAGGAGCTAAGCGAGGGCATTTTGGAGGGAGTCCCAGAGGAGGATCTCAATAGGTCTGGGATGGTCGATTCCAAAGCAATTCCTGTCCATTTGTAGACCATGCACTTAGGTAGAACTTGAACCCTTGACCCCCTCAGACCTCAGAGTGCTGGCTCTGTCTCCAGGACCCCGGACACGTCACAATGACTGGGGGGTGAGGAACAGTGTCCTCTAAAAAGGTCAAATGGCCCCGGCGAGCTGGACCCGGCAGGCATTGCCAGCGATGCAGCCAAAACACGCTTGCGTTGAGCCCAGGGCTGCCCCCCTCTGCAGGCGCCGCTATTTTAAGACACAGAACGTTGACCACGCGCCGTCCACTAACTACCGCGTTGGAAGGAGGCTGGGTTGGAAAATGCATCTTTGCTGCGCTAATTGCACAGCGGCTCGGGCTCCGTTAACCTCTTCACGTCTTTTTAAAAATGTGTATTATTTCAGAGAAGAAGGGAGAGGGAGAGAGACATTATCCCTTCCCCTGTTTCTTGGACTCCCCATACTTTGGACACCCCGCGCCCCCACCCCCTGTCAACCTCTGAACCCCTGCAGGTTGCCCGTCGCTTTCCCGGCTCTGATGCAACTCGCTCAGCCTAGCCCTTGCAGGGGGAGGGCTCGGGGTCAACCTCCTTCCGCCCCGCCCAGCCAAGGCCCCGCCCCGAGCCGCGCTTAGGCCCGCCCCTTCCCTTCCCATTGGCTCACCGCCTCTCCGTCACGCCTGCGACAGCGGAGCTGCCCTACCAGCGAGGGGCCGGCGCGGGCGGAGCCAGCGCGCAGGCGCGAGCGGGCGGGCGTGCCGGGCCCGGATGCGGGGGAGGGCGGTGTTCCCGGTTTCCTGGGTTACCTGAGGGGCGGGGGTGGGAGCCGGCGGCGGCGGCGAGGACGCGGGGTTCGCGGCGTGAGGGGAGCGCGCGGCGGAGGCGGCGGGGCCGGAGCGGAGGTAAAGCGGCGAGGGGAGCCGACAGCGCCGGGCGCGGCTGCTGCCCGCGGCCTGGCGGGAAGGCGGGGTGTGTGTCGGGGGAGCTGTCATCCGGGTCGGGGGTCGCGGCCCGACGCCCCGGCGGCACCTCCTCTCCCTCTCGGGGGTCGGGGCGCCTCCCGCTGCCTTTTGCAGCCTCGCGCGGCGCCGGCGCGAACTTTTCAGGTCCAGCCCGCTGCTCCCTGGACTGTCCCGGACCCTCGGGGGCCGCGGCTCCCCTGCCCGGCCGCCCGGATGCCTGGGTGCCCGCGGGGGCGACAGTTTTCGGCGGCTGCTCACCCCCTGCCCTGCCCCGGATCCTCTCCCCGGTGCGAGCGCTCCCGCCTTTGACATCCTTTGCCCGAGCGAGAGGGTCCTCCTCGGAGACGCCCGCCGTCCGATCCGGGCATCCCTGGGCCCTTGGCTGGGATGCAACTGCTTTCCTCTCCGCCACCTGTGGGATGCAACGGCCCGTGTGGCTCAGTGGTTGAGCGTGGACCTGTGCACCAGGAGGTCCACGGTGCAATTGCCCGGTCAGGGCACATGCCCGGGTTGTGGGCTCCATCCCCAGTAGGGGGCGTGCAGGAGGCAGCTGATGCATGATTCTCTGTCATCGTGGATGTTACTCTCTCTCTTTCCCTCTCCTTCCCTCTCTCTCTTCCTCTCTGCAATCAGCTTCCCAGCCTGGCCGGTTAAACCAAAACAAACCCTTCCCCCGTGTGCTCTGTCTGCTCTGCAGAGGGTACACGCCCGTGTCAGCACCCGGTAGTTACGGAGGTTCGCTTGCTGCAGGTGGAAAATGTCCAGGGAGGGGAGCACCACGTTGGTGTTGACTTTGGACTGATGTTTCTTTCGCGATTGCATTTAGCTCGCATTTCCCCCGGAGGTTGGTAGGACACACGGAGCCGGGCTTTTCTCCCTGCCAGTCCTGGATAGTCTGCCCAGTTACTCCGCCCGTCCACACCCAGACACCCTTAGGCTGATAAAGAGGCTGACTTATGGAGGTGCAGTTCATGAAGATGGAGTGTCTGTTTTACAGAGCTTTGCCAGCAGCCGCCAGCTTTTTTTTTTCTCTCCCTTCTGATAATTCTTGCCGTCATTCATCTTGTTACTATAAAGATTGGATGATTTGGACAAGAGGGAGCATAAGGAGAAAATGACTTACTATGTGATTTATTTTTAAAATATACGTATATGTTATTTCAGAGAGGAAGGGAGAGGGAGAGAGAGAGAGAAACATCAATGATGAGAATCATGGGTCCGCTGCCTCCTCCACGCCCCCTACTGGTGATCAAGCGCACAACCTGGGCATGTGCCCTTGGCTGGAGTCAAACCCCGGACCCTTCGGTCCTGAGGCCAACGCTCTACCCTACTGAGCCAAACCAGCTAAGTCTATAATTTAATTTACATGAAAGCAACTTGCAAACTATACAATTACATATAAACTCAGTTTTTTTTGTTTGTTTTTTTGTTAATCCTCACCTGAGGATATTTTCCCACTGATTTTTAGAGAGAGTGGGAGGGAGGGGGGGAGCGAGAGAGAGAGAGAGAGAGAGAGAGAGAGAGAGAGAGAGAGAGAGAGAGAAACATCACTGAGAAAGACACATGGATTGGTTGCCTCCCCCACAGGGGCCTGGGATGGAGCCTGAAACCCAGGTGTGTGCCCTTGACCAGAATCGAACCCGGGACCCTTCTGTCCACAGGCCAGTGCTCTAGCCACTGAGCCACACTGGCTAGGGCGAGGGTTGCAGTTTTACGGAGAGGTCTCCAGGGAAGACTTCTTGGAAAAGATGACATTGCAGCGTGAGCCTGGAAGGAAGTGGGGGGTGATTCGTCCGCCTCTGGAGGGGAGGAGGGAAGCACATTGCAGGCCGAGTTGTGTGGGCATGTCGGGGGAACAGGCTGGGCTGGCTTGGTGGAGGGAGTGATGGGAGAGGAGTAGAAACGAATCCGAGATTAGGGGGGACGAGGGATCAGAGTGTAAGGCTGCAGGCCTTTGTAAGGCCTCGGCTTCCACTCAGTGAGACTCACCGCCTTGCGTGGAGACGGGGTAGGATCAGACTCGCTTTCTAAAGAGGTCACTCTGGTGGTTGGATGGAGAATAGACTTGGGGGCAGGCGGCGGGGTTGGGCAGTGGCAGAGGCAGGGACATCAGTTCCAGGATTCTTGCCATGATCCAGGCCAGTGATGATGCTCCTTGGGCCCGAGGACCGTTGGCGTGGTGGGCTTCTGGGTACATGGAGGGTCGCAGAGTCCACAGGAGACTTCCAGAACACCAGATTTTATCCTGAGCACGTGGAAAGATAGAGCAGGCGCGTACTGAAGCGAGGCTCATGAGAGGAGCAGTTGGGTGGCAGAAGGTTAGGAGTCGGTGAGAAGACAATAAATTAGGCATCCGAGTGGTCACAGTGCCGATCTGCGGACTCAAGGGCTCAATTCCCAGTCGGGCATTGCCTGGGTTGCAGGTTCCCTGGATCTGGTAGGAATGCATGCAGGAGGCAGCCAATCAGTGTGCCTCACATCAGTGTTTCTCTCTCCCCCCACCCCTTCCACTCCCTCTAAAAATCAATTGGGGAAAATATCCAAGGTGAGGATTAACAACAACAACAAAAGATTCTTATTAACAAACTGACCCGCTAATCAGATACAGAGTAATGGAACATAGATTCTGGAGATTTCAGTGAGCTTGATCATGGTGAATGATCTTTTTAACATATTGCTGAATTTGGCTTGCTAATATCTCGTTGAAAATTTTTGCATCTATTTTTTTTTAAAATATGTTTTTATTCGCCGAAACCGGTTTGGCTCACTGGATAGAGCATCGGCTTGCGGATTGAAAGGTCCCGGGTTCGATTCTGGTTGAGGGCATGTACCTTGGTTGCGGGCACATCCCCAGTGGGGGGTGTGCAGGAGGCAGCTGATCGATGTCTTTCTCTCATCGATGTTTCTAACTCTCTATCCCTCTCTCTTCCTCTCTGTAAAGAATCAATTAAAAAATATGTTTTTAATAATTTCTGAGAGGAAGGGAGAGGGAGAGAGAGAGAAACATCAGTGATGAGAGAGAATCATTGATCAGCTGCTTCCTGCACGCCCTCTACTGGGGATCAAGCCCGAAACCCGGGCCTGTGCCCTGATGAGAATAGAACCGTGACCTCCTGGTTCCTAGGTCAACGCTCAGCCACTGAGCCACGCCGGCCGGCTGCATCTCATGCTCATCAGGAATGCTGGCCTATAATTATCTTTCTTCGTAATGCCTCCGTCTGGTTTTGGAGTCGGGCTCAATGGGGACCTTGTACAATAAAATGAGCAGGGAGCCTCCCTCCGCTTGGGTTTTTTGGGAAGGACAGGTGTTACGTCTTCCTTGAATGTTGGGTAGAATGTACCGGTGAAGCCATCCTGTCAGGCCCCGTCTTCACTCTTTTTAAAAAATATATATATATCAATATATTTTATTGATTTTTTACAGAGAGGAAGGGAGAGGGAGAGAGAGTTAGAAACATCCATCAGCTGCCTCCTGCACACCCCCTACTGGGGATGTGCCCGCAACCAAGGTACATGCCCCTGACCGGAATCGAACCTGGGACCCTTGATTCCTCAGGCCAACGCTCTATCCACTGAGCCATTGCCATTCTTTAGGACATACTTAGGGGTGCTAGACACGGGGCTCAGCCCTAGGACCTCATCTCGGCCCCCTTTCCTGTCTCTCTGGGCCCCCACTGTTCAGTATGTGAGCACCAGCCCCAGGCCTGGCAGCGCGGAGAGCGCGATTGGACGGCAGTGCTCTGGGCTCGCTCACCCATCCAGTCCCTTTAAAACGCCTCTGCACGTGATGACTCCCAGGTTGAGTCACCCGTGCCAGCCTCTCTCCGGGAACCCCAGCTGCTGCACCCAGCTGCCCGCGTGACACCCTTCCCTGGGTGTCTGAGAGGGTGTCCGACTGCGCACGGCTCAGCGGGATGTGGTTTTCCCTCTCCTCCTGCTCCTAACACAGGTTAAAAGACCTTGTCGCCTTTTGGGGGGGCCAGGGACTCTGAGGGCAGGCGGGAGGAGACTCCCATGCTTAGGGAGAGTCCGTTCCTGGGGACACCCCCCTTTCCTCTGTCCACACCTCTCTTCAGTCCCTGAAAGCAGGGTGAGCAGCTTTCCTCACTCTGTAGTCATTTTTACTTTTCCTCTCGTATTTGGCACCCGCTGCATCAGACACACGCTCATCTCAGTGCCCTGGAGTGCTCGTTGCCCAGGTCCCTCCTGGCCCCTTCCTTGCTTTCTCACATTCTGGCTCAGATATCTCCTTCTTAGACATTCCTGTGCACCTGTCTAAGAAAGTCCGGATCTGCCATCTCACCCACCACTCATGAGTTAGTGCCAATGGTTAGTGTTTGCACCTGCCCATGCGTAGTTACACTCAGGCATTTCACACCCGGGACTCATTTCTGCCGGGCATGAATATTTTAAAAAATAGATTTTCATTGATTTCAGAGAGGAAGGGAGACACAGAGAGAAAGAGAGAGAGAGAGAGAGAGAGAGAGAGAGAGAGAGAGAGAGAAAGAAACATCAATGAGGAGAGAAAATCATGGATTGGCTGCCTCCTGTACGCCCCCTACTGGGGATTGGCCTGCAATCTGGGCATGTGCCCTTGACCGGAACCGAACCCGGGTCTCTTCAGTCCACAGGCCGATGCTTTATTCACTGAGCCAAACCAGCTAGGGCCGGCCAGGCATGAATATTTAAGGAGCGCCTGACTAGGTCAGGGCCATGTCTGGAAGCATCACAGGGTTAAGTACCAGAAGCTCGTCATTTCAAGTCAGTCCTTAGAAAAAAACAAGCAGTGAAACCTCATCGTTTTAAATGCAAATTTTTGTGTTTCTGATCTTCTTTTTTTATCATACTTATCTCACAGCTTGGTCATGAGCTCCGACAGTAACTCTTTGGCACGTGAATTTCTGACCGATGTCAACCGGCTTTGCAATGCAGTGGTCCAGCAGGCGGAGGCCAGGGGGGAGGAGGAGGAGGAGGAGGAAGAGGAGGAGGAGGAGACGCACATGGCAGCCCTGGGACAATACCTTGTCCACGGCCGCGGGTTCCTTTTGCTTACCAAGCTGAACTCCACCATTGACCAGGTAACGCTTTCCCGCCAAATGATTTTCTTCTTCGGTATGTTGTCGTTAATTCTGGGTACATAATTTCTGGGTCACGTAGTTTCTGAGAGTCTCTAGATAAAGCCCTGCCTCTCACATCTCTCCGACAAAGACAAGAAGCCCCATTTAAGTTCATATGTTTATTTGGATACTTTGCAAAATGTCTGAAAATTTTTAGAATTGCAAATGGCCTTTCCTCTGAAGTGGTTTCCTATATGCTGTGTTTGCATCTTACTATCAGTGCAAGGATAACTGTAGTTATTAATCAAGTTACAAGATTACAATAGGGGAACATAGGGATTTGCATTTGCAATAAACATCAGCCATGCGTTTGAAAAATCTCGTGCAAACTATGTTTAGGCAGCTTGCTGGATGTGGGGTGAAAGTAGAGAACCCTTTGTGTGAACTAATAATTACTGATCCTCTGGGTTGTATTCGTGTACCTTAGTATTTTATGTGATTGCTGAAAGGATCGTATGACAGTGTTATTGTGCTGATTCCTTCTAGAATAAACATTGTAAAGCCCGTAGGAGCTGCAGACAGGTTTTCATCCAGCCTCCATTTGTAGATGAAAAACTGAGACGCAGAAACAGTAACCTGAAGCCCAGATGTGATTTGTCTCTTTATTAAATTTTAGGAGAAAACAAATATTTATTTTATGGAAGAAAAACTCCACCACCTGCTTCCTGGGAACGAATTAATGTAGTCAGAGAGTACTGCAGTTCACTTGAATTGATAAGACTATAAGGTCTCCGTAGCACCAGTTTGGCGGGCATGTCTAACCACTTTAAATGTCACTGGCGTCAGAGGTACACTTATCCATTGTGAAATTTCTGTGATATGACAGCACATTTCTAATAAATACATTGGTTGGATAAACACAGAGCCTAAGATAGAGCACCGCCTCTGTTTTAACTGTAAGCTCAGGAACCTAACAAATATGAGGAAGTATTTGTTCACTGTGGTGCTCACCTATCATGGAACATTCCGGAATAGTTGCAGGTTTATGTAATTTTATTCTTTTTCATGACTGTGGTTTATTAAATATGTCACCAAACATAATTTAAGTTTTATATATTTGTGTGACCGGGAAAAATTATTTGTTAGACCACATATGGTGATTTTTTTTATTTTGAAATCTTGATGATTTGATATTCATCTCATACTCTTCGTCTTTCCCCACATTAGGACAATTCAGCGCTTTCTCTTTTTAAAAGATTCTATATAAATGACATCATACATATTGAGGAACAAATGTTGAGAGAAATTAAAAAAGACCCAAATAAATTCAGAACTTCGGAATTTTCCTATAGTATTGGAAAAATCAGTATTGTAAAGATACTCTTTTCTCCAAATTGATCTATAGATTCCAGTGCAATCCCAATCAAAGTCTCAATGGCTTTTTTTAATCCCCACCTGAAGATATGCTGAGAGAGAAAGAGAGAGAGAGAGAGAGAGAGAGAGAAACATTGATATGGGAACATTGATTGGTTGCCTTCTGTACATACCTTGACTGGAGATCATGCCACAGCCCAGGCATATGCCCAGACCAGGGACTGAACTGGCAACCTTTTGGTGCACAGGATAATGTTCAACCCACTGAGCCACCTGGTCAGGCACAAAGGCTTTTCTTAATGACAGCATTATTGGGATATATTTCACATATCATGGAAGTCACCCATTTCATATGTACAAAATTCAGTGTTCTTTAGTATAGTCACAGCCAGACAATTTTAGAATATTTCCATCACCTTGAATAGAACCCCTATACCTTTTTCCTGTCACTCCTATTCCTTCCACTTCCCTGAGTCCTAAGCAAACACTAATCTACTTTGGGTCGCTATAGATTTTCTGCTTTCTCTTTTAAGTCATGAGATAACTTTTGATATAGTATTATTCAATGGCTCCAATCATTCAAGTCATCATGGAATACTATGTTTTCCCATGGTGGTATTTTTTAGTCCCTTCTTTCCCCCTTCACTTGCTTTTTGGAATATCTGTAGCAGTGACAGTAGGAACAATAGAAGTAGAGTGAAATTAATAGCCTGTGAAAAACAGGGCTTATCAATATTTAATTGCTTACACCAGGGAATGAAGCATATCATTTGGATCCTTAAGGGGAATTTAATTGCACAAGATTTAATCATTTAGGCGGAATCAGAACGCTGGGTTCCAGGCCGCACATCCCAGGAGGAACCTGAGCTCGGACGCCCCCTTCTCCCTCACCACGTGCAGTAAATGCACAGACGCCAAGTGCACAGTGGGATGTTTTTTAACAAATATACTCACCTGTGTGGCCGTCGCCCCGTCACGTGTAGGACTTTCCCCCCCTCAGGGAGCTTGCCAGGCTCCTTTTCAGTCCGCCCCTCACCTCCCGGCCCCTTGCAAGATGCCACCGCTTTGTCATGTAGCCTCCGAGGTTCTCCGTCCGTCCGTCCGTCCGCCCGTCCGCGTGAGTCAGCAGCTCTGCTTTCCGTTCCTGACGGGCGTCTGCTTGTCTGGAGGCCACGGTTTGTTTATGTTCGCCCGCTGTTTAACCTTTGGCTCAGAGCCATCTGGCTACTCAGAGGAGACCTGCTGTGAATTAACATTTAAAAAAAAAATATATATATATCTATATTTTTATTGACTTTTTTATAGAGAGGAAGGGAGAGGGATAGAGAGTTAGAAACATCGATGAGAGAGAAACATCGACCAGCTGCCTCCTGCACACCCCCTCCTGGGATGAAGGCTTCGCAGGGAGGTATGGGGGACTGGGCCAGGAAGGCAGCGAGCCAGTGCGCCCTGAACTCCGTGGGAAGGAGTGGAGACGCCCTGGCAGCGTCCTGCAGAGCCAGGAGCCTGTGCACGGAGCAGGGACGGTTTGCCAGTGTCCTGTTGGGGACCCAGGGCTCAGTGACAAGGACAGCGTGTCCGGAGCACTTCACACATCCTTGAGGTTTCTGCAAGCCCCCTTAGAATGTCGCATCCTCGTCTGCTCAAGGGAAGAGGCCAGAATAGGCGTGACGGGTTTTAAGGGTAATTTGCCAGATATTTTTGCTGGCACCCTAAAGAAGGTTGAGGTTCATCCTGAGCCTGCGCTATGCGTGGAGGGCAACTTGTTCTTTTTGTAAGGAGAGAATACAGAAGTGGGGCCCCTTGACACAATTTTGCTTTGAATCTGGAATTTCAAGACTTCCATGCAGATGGTGTTTATAAAAACCCAACCGTGGCCTAGGCATTGGGTGCAGAGGGCATGACCGCTAAGCGCCGGGGCCTGCACCTGGGGTCCGCGCTTGGAGGGGGGCTGGGAAGTGAGTTTGAGAAGCTTCCCGGGGTGTTTGGAGGTAAATTCAGCCTCCTGCGTGGCATGGCCCTCGAGGCCGCAATAGATCCTGCCTCGCTGACCTGCCCCCTCCAGCCTCCTCCCCCGTGCTCTCTCCGGTCCGCTCTTTCTACACGTCACGTGCTTCCTAGGAGCTGTCACCTCCACGTCTCTGCACGGATCCCTCTTCTCACCAATGAAGTATCCGCTCCAGGGCCCCTCCTGCATAGGCTGCACATGCCCCCCCTTACCCCTCTGTCATCCCCCCCTTTATTCACGTCTCCATCGTATTTGAAGCTGTCACCTTGCGGATCTGACAGGCCACCCCGGCCCGCCTCACGCACGATGTGAGCAATTACACTTGACCTGTCGTTACTTCCCGAGCCACCATATGGCCCGGGGCCCCGCTCCAGTTCTGTCGCTCCAGACCACGCCTCTGGCTGACGCGCCCGCTCCTTTCTGTGCCTCCCGTCTGGGCACCCGTGCCACGCACACCTGGCTCACACCACGTGCCTCTGTCCTCTAACGTGTGTGTGTGTGTGTGTGTATCTTACGGACCAAACGCGGGACTCCGCCAGGGCTCGGACCTTCTCCTCCGGGAAGGGCAAGACAGTAAGTGCTGTGGACGTAGCGTGCCGACCGTAAGCCTGGATCGCCTTCACTAATACGTCTTTCTCTTTACGTAGTATTGCTTATTAACGTCTGTTTCTCTTTTTAAAGTCGTGTACTCCGAGTCTTACACTTAACTGCATGAAGATGTTTCTCTAATAACTTGATATTATCGGTGTGCTAATTAAAAGGACTTAGCTTTTCATCTTCACCAGGTGAGGAATTCTTTTTTAATCAGCAAGAACATGCTAAATACCGTCAGCCACTCTGACATTCTCCTGTCTTTGGAAAGGTTTATAAATTGAGGAGTCCCACAGCTTTCATTGGATTTGAGACGAGTCCGTTTGGTTCTTAGCTTCCCAAACGCAGCCTTTCAGGGGGAAGGGCCTTTGGTTGAATGTGAGACAAGGTCTTAGGAATTACCGCGCCTCCTGCCCTCCGAACGAACGTGAAGGGGTTTCTCGTTTCTGCTCCAGGCGCTGACCTGCAGGGAGGAGCTGCTCACGCTCCTCCTGTCCCTCCTCCCACTGGTGTGGAAGCTTCCTGTTCAGGAGGAACGGGCAGCAGGTAGGTTTTTTCTCTTCTTTTTTTTTTTTAACCGAAGACAGGCACTATTATCACGTCACTCGTGTTATCAAAATTCCACGGGGAAAATGTGCCCCTGAGAAGTCGCGTCGGTAGGAACAGAGTAGTCACGGGTGTGAAGGACAGCATGGGGAATATAGGCAATAATATTACAACAGCTAGGTTCGGCGTTCCAGAAATATCTTGTGTGATGGTCGGTTTTAACGTCAGTCTTAGAGAACATTTGGTGTCTGTTATTTGATTTTGAAATAATTTTGGGAAATCCTAAAGTTCTTGTTACATCAGGCTGTAACCTAAATACTGGACCATGTGGGAGAACATAATAAATAAACCCCAGTCTCTTCATTGACTGCACTGCTGCAGGAGGCTTGTACAGTGCGTGAACAGCGGTGCTGTACAGCCTAGTCTCTCATGGCAACGGAAAGACACAGTCATTTGTGGTTTTAAATTAGATTAATTTTTCCAGCTCTGTTCTCCTTTGTTGTTTCCGGATCAGTTCGTATCCTTTGAACTAATCGAATCTGGTACTTATCATGAGAAAGATAAGTGGGAAGGGGTGGAGGGGAGGGTGACCCAGGGATGGAACATTAGCTAAAGGCCAGCAGCCCAGGGCCAGGGGACTGGGTTTGAAAACATATTAAGGCATCCTAAAACTTCCTTTTTTCGTTTCCTTAGATTTTAACCTACCGTTCTCAGTTGACATAATCCTGACCAAAGAAAAGAACTCAAGTTCACCAAGATCCACTCAGGAAAAATTACATTTAGAAGGGAGTGCCCCACCGCCTCAGGTTTCCGCAAAAGTGAAAAGCAGACGGCAGCGGAAGGCGGCCCACCCCTGCTCCGTGAGAGACGCAAGGAAGACGCAGCCCTCCACCTCGGGCTCAGAGGCCGACTCAGGCGACAGGAGGCCCCGGCGGCCCCCCCAGCTGCAGCCTTTGGCAGCCCAGGCTCCTAAAGAGGGGGAGCCTGCAGCGCCCCCCACCCGCCTGTCCCCCGGAGAACAGACCCCCCCTGAGAGAATGGCTTCGGGGCGTTTCCAAGAGGCAGCGCCCCGCCAGCAGGCAAACGCGGACATTTTAAGTGAGCCAGCTGCCTTGTCTATCATCAGCCACATGAGCAATTCTCCGTTTGACTTGTGTCATGTCTTGTTATCTCTGCTGGAGAAAGTCTGTACGTTCGACATGAACTTGAACCATAACTCTGCCCTGGCAGCCAGCGTCGTGCCCACGCTGACCGAGTTCCTCGCCGGCTTCGGGGGCTGCTGTGACCCCGGGGACGGCTCGGAGAGCCAGGCGGTGGCTGCAGGTTGGACCGAGGAGCCGGTGGCCCTGGTCCAGCGCATGCTTTTCCGGACGGTGCTGCACCTCATGTCCGCGGACGTCAGCGCCACGGGGACGATGCCGGACAGCCTCAAAAAGAACCTCACCGAGTTACTCAGAGCGGCTTTACAGATCCGAACGTGCCTGCAGAGGCAGCCCGACCCCTTCGCCCCGAGACGGAAGACGACCCTGCAGGAGGTGCGGGAGGGGTTCGCGTTCTCCCGGTACCGGCACCGGGCCCTGCTGCTGCCCGAGCTCCTGGACGGGCTGCTGCGGCTGCTCACCTGCTGCCTGCACAGCGCGGCCTCCAACCCCTTCCTCTTCAGCCAGGCCGTGCACCTGGTGCAGGAGTTCACCCAGCACCGGGGCTTCCACCTGTTCGAGACGGCGGTCCTGCAGCTGGAGTGGCTGATCCTGAGAGGCGGCGTCCCCGCCGAGGCCCCGGCCCGGCTGAGGGCCCTGGTCAGCGGCGTGCTGAGGATCATGGGCGCCGTCAAGAAGGTGAAGTCGGAGCAGCTCCACCACTCCATGTGCACCCGGAAGAGGCACCGGCGGTGCGAGTACTCGCACTTCATGCACCACCACCGGGACCTCTCGGGGCTCCTGGTCTCGGCGTTTAAGAGCCAGGCGTCCACCAACCCCTTCGAGGAGGCCCCGGACGGCGCCGCGCGCTACCCCGAGCGCTGCTGCTGCCTGGCCGTGTGCGCGCACCAGTGCCTGCGCCTGCTGCGGCTGGCCTCGCTGGGCAGCACGTGCCTGCAGGTGCTGGCCGGCGTGCAGGACGTGGGGCTGTGCTGCTGCATGGACCCCAAGTCCGTCATCGGCCCGCTGTTGCACGCCTTCCAGCTGCCGGCCCTGAAGACCTTCCAGCAGCACATACTGAACGTCCTGAGCAGGCTCCTCTTAGACCAGCTGGGGGGCGCCGAGACGCCGCCCAGAACGAAAAAGGCGGCGTGCAACATCTGCACCGTTGACGCCGACCAGCTGGCCAAGCTCGAGGAGACGCTGCAGGGGCCCGCGGGGGACGAGGAGCCCGCCTCGGGCCTGCCCGGTCCCTACAGGTGTCCCGGCATCCTGCCCAGCAGCGGGTCCGAGGACTGGCTGTGGCGGTGGGACGCCCTCGAGGAGTATCAGAGGTTCGTGTTTGAAGAAGACCGGTTACACAGCGTGCAGGTCGCCCACCACATCTGCAGCCTGATGCAGAAAGGCAACGTGGTGGTCCGGTGGAAGCTGTACAACTACATCTTCAACCCCGTGCTCCAGAGAGGCGTGGAGCTGGCCCGTCGCTGCCAGCACCCCAGCGTCCCTCCGGCCCAGACGCACGTGTGTGGCCGCCAGAGCCAGTGCCTGCCTCAGGACGTGCTTCATGTTTATGTAAAAACGCTGCCTGCCCTGCTGAAGTCAAGGTGCGTGTGTGTGTGTGTGTGTGTGTGTGTATATGTGTGTGTTTGGGGGGGTATTTTCCTTATTTTATGTTTTTGAGTTACCTGTGCCCTTTATTCTTTCGCTAGAGGCCTGGTGCACGACATTCATGCACTGGGAGGGGGGCCCCCAGCCAGACCTGTGCCCTCTTGCAGTCAGACATTCCCCCTAAGGGTCCTTAGTCTGCTGTGGAAGCACAAGCCTGGCTTCTGGCTGAGCAGTGCTCCCCCTGTGGGAGCACTCCTGCATTGAGTGTCTGCCCCCTGGTGGTCAGTGTGCATCATAGTGACTGGTTGAACGAACGGTCAGACACTTAGCATATTAGGCGTTTATGATATAGGATATATATTTGGTGTTTAGAGAGGGATATGAAAATCATTAGAAAGTAACTTGAGATCCTGGTCACATCTAAGAACTTAAGCCACGTGGTTGATTAGTCAAATTTAGGTAGTGTTTGTTTAGTGCAGCGATGACATTTAATTACCAAAAATATTTAATATTAAAACCAGTTTAAGTTTCATTAAACTGAATAAACAGTATATGTACCTATTTATAAATGATCTGTCTATCTGTAAAACCTCTTGTATGTTTTTTTTTTCTCTCACAGGGTAATTAGAGATTTGTTTTTAAGTTGTAACGGAGTGAGTCAAATAATTGAATTAAGTTACTTAGATGGCATTCGACGTCATTCCCTGAAAGCGTTTGAAACTCTGATCATCAGCCTCGGGGAGCACCAGAGAGAGTCTCGGGTGCCAGGGGCCGATGGGCCGGAGGAGGAACCGAAGGAGCCGGCGTCCTTCCACGCAGACGCCTCTGCCCACAGCCAGCAGGCGCTCTCCAACTCTCCCCAGAGCCTCAGCAGGTTCTACGCCAGCCTCCGCGAAGCCCACCCGCAGAGGCGCAGGGCCGCCCCCCACGACGCCCACCTCCACACGATCCACCTCTTCCTCTGCGTGGCCTTCCTGTGCGTCAGCAGAGAGGCCGACGCCGACGGGGAGCCCGCCAACGACTCGGAGGACACGTCCGGCTACGACAGCACGGCCAGCGAGCCCCTGTGCCAGCAGCTGCCCTGCCTGCCCCTGGACAGCCTGGTCCTGCCGCCCCCCGAGCGCATGCGCCAGGCGGCCGACATCTGGTCCATGTGCCGCTGGATCTACACGCGGAGCCCTGCCTTCCAGAAGCAGCTCTGCGGGCTGGGCGGCGTCCGCGTGTGCCATCGGCTGATTTTCATGATCATCCAGAGGCTGTCCCGGGGTCCCGGCGAGGAGCCAGGGAAGAAGGAGGGCGCCGCGGCTGCGCAGGAGGACCCGGAGCCCGTGAGCACTGCCCACTCGGAGGTCGCCGAGGAGGAGGACTCGGGGTCTTCGGCTGTGAGAGGCGCCCCCACCCCGTCTGGCCCGGGCGGTCCAGAGGGGAGTGCTGACGGAGCAGGTGCATCGGGGTCACAGCATGCTGCGTCCACTAACGGGGATCCGATGCCCGCGGCTGGAGCTGCGCCTGAGGAAGCAGAGGGGCCTGCGAGTGGAGCGAGTGAGACGGCACTTCAGAGCATCCGGCTGCTGGAAGCCCTGCTGGCCATCTGCCTCCACGGCACCCGAGCCAGTCAGCACTGGGCGGAGGGGGAGCCGCCCGGCCAGGTAAGGACTTGCTGTCCTGCGATGTGTACTTTGCAAAACTCTAAGTTCTGAGACGCGCCTGTGTGCTTAGCACCCCAGTGTCAGGTGCCTGGGAGGACACAGGAGCACAGGACCAGTCCTTGTCCCCAGGAAGCTCATAGTTTAAGCTTTGTCACAGGCCAAACCCACACGAGTCACTGTTTCCAGTTAAAAGGCATTAGGTAGGCAGTAATGGGAGTTGAGTGATAATGTGTGTTTCAGAGTTATTTTTAATATGTATATAGTTTTATTGATCTCAGAGAGGAAGGGAGAGGGAGAGAGAGAAACATCCATGAGAGAGAGAATCATGGATTGGCTGCCTCCTGCATGCACCACACTGGGGATGGAGCCCGTAACCTGGGCATGTGCCCTGACTGGGAATCGAACCGTGACCTCCTAGTTTACAGGTCAACACTCAACCACTGAGCTACGCCGGCCAGGCTGTTTCAGAGTTCTCACATGGCCTGGACGACCTTCCGAACAACCTTCCGAATGAAGCCAGGGCTGTGAGGGCTGGGCCCCTTGCACGAATTTCATGCCTCGGGCCTCCAGTTTATTAATATTAACTTATCTGTCACTGTTTCATTTTTTTTCTTGAAACATTTTATTACTATTCTTAGTCTCTCTTGTTTTACCTTAGAACTTGTCTGTGGAAAACATATTGTTTGAAATGAGGGACCACCTTTCCCAGTCCAAGGTGATTGAGACGGAACTGGCGAAGCCTTTATTCGATGCCCTGCTCCGAGTGGCGCTGGGCAATCACCCGGCGGATTTCGAACACAGTGATGCTGTGACTGAGAAGGTACGAGGAGCAGGCAGGCGTGCTGTTGAGGGGTGACAGCAGAAGCAAAGAGTGTGGGATGGGACTGCATGGATGAGTGGTTAGAACATATGGCCTGGAGTTGGTGAGTTCCATGAACAGACATGTAAAAATAGAATATATTTTACTAGTATTAAGTTTTAAGAAGTATAATTTCACCTCATTGTGGGTTTTAGTCATTTCCATTGTTACTAGAATGTAATTTGTTAGGCTTAGTTTTCGGTAAAACGGAAATGACCTAGCTTAATATGCTAGAGAGACCTCCCACCCATGCTAGAGGTTAGTCAAGTTGTCAGAGAAATTGTGCTGCATGAATTTAATAACTTAAAGTGGTAAATATCAATTCATAGGATTTTTTTCCTTAAAGTAAATACTGAGACTGTTCTTAAAATGACAGTTATTTAATATTAGATTCCTAAAGATGAGTAGATGTTACACTTTTTGCCTTTTACTCGCACCCATCTTGCAGAGTCCTCAGTCTGAAGAAGAATTGTCATCCCAACCCGGAGAGTTTTCAGAAGACGCGGAGGATGCTGCATGTGGTGGTTTTAAACTTTTGGTTGAAGAAGAAGGTTATGAAGCAGATAGTGAGAGCAATTCTGAGGATAGCGAAGCCCAGGATGATGGTAAAATATCAGGAAGTGCTTGTGATTCGGTTTGCAAGTCAGATTATTAATTAGCAAAGTGGTTTATAATAATATTATTTTATAATCCGTGTTGCCTTACAATTTAAGAAGCACATTGCATCATTTCACTGGGTCTTCACCATGAATCCTGGCCCTTGTTTGTGTCTGTGATTGGAAACACCGAGGTCGATTTTGTTATCAAAGACATTGAGCTAAGAATACAGAGGAGAGCAGTCGCTGCTTTCATATCTATCCCAGTGAAAAAGACAGTAAGTGGCAGATACAGACAGCATGAAGAAGGACCTGGTGGACCATAGCAGGTGGTTTTGTTCATTTTTACCAAACACAGCGTGGAAAGAACTAAGAAACAGCCCCAGATTGAAAGGATATGTGTGTATATACATAGAGAGTTAGGAAAAATAGGTTTGAAACTTGCTGTTGATAATATTTGTAGTTCTGTTGAAGATCAAAATTACTTTGAAGGCTGTTCATTCATCTTCAAAGTATCCATAAGACTTGACTACTCAGGATATTTGCCATAATAAAAAGGCACGTTGTAGGAAAAGGTTTTGTGAACATCTTATAAATAGCACTTTCGCCACTACAACTTTCGAATGATGAATGAGATTTGAGATACCTCTTCAGTGTTTAGGGTAGGGGTGTCGAACTCAATCAGAGAAGGGGCCAAAATCTAAAATCCAGCCTAAATCGCAGGCCGAATGGTTTACTGAACAGTCATAAACTGTCATTGTGATGGAAACGCAGCGGAGTGCAGTGATGACAGCGCGGTGCGGGCCACATTGCAAGGCCTGGCGGGACGGATTTGGCCCGCGGGCCGTGTGTTTGACACATGTGGTTTAGGGAGTGGAAATAACCTTTTCTTTTCCCCTTCCAGGGGTAGACATGAAGCATGAAGCAGAAGGTTTCATTGCAGTAAGCAGTCCAAGCGACTTACTTGAAAACCTCACTCAGGGAGAGATAATATATCCTGAGATTTGCATGCTGGAATTAAGTTTGCTTTCTACTAGTAAAGCCAAGCTTGATGTGCTTGCCCATGTATTTGAGAGTTTTTTGAAAATCATCAGGCAGAAAGAAAAGAATATTTTTCTACTCATTCAACAGGTAAAGGATTGTATTTCGTTAAATGAGACCAATAATTATCCCACTCATGCCCCAAATACTCATTTCCTTATTTATAACCCAACTTGTCTGAAAATGATCTGAGTTGATTACTTATGCTTTATGATACCTTGCCCGTGTTTTTTAGCTACTAGTGGTATTCTAAAAATCTTCTAATTCCATAGTCCTCTAAAGTAGCATAAGAAGTTAATGATGTCGTGGGTAACTAATAATGCCTCCTATTATATTTCTGAAAATGGATAATGTTTTTTAAATTGTATTTTATTTTATTTTATTTTTATTATTTTTTTTAAATATATTTTATTGATTTTTTACAGAGAGGAAGGGAGAGAGATAGAGAGCCAGAAACGTCGATGAGAGAGAAACATCGACCACCTGCCTCCTGCATACCCCACACCAGGGATGTGCCCGCAACCAATGTATTGATACATGCCCTTGACCGGAATCGAACCTGGGACCTTTCAGTCCGCAGACCGACGCTTTACCACTGAGCCAAACCGGTTTCGGCTAAATTGTATTTAATTTTAATGTTTGGTCAAATAAAATGAAAATTGTGTATAATCCTACCCATAGCCTTCTCTTTAGTCATTTAAAATATTTATATATGTACATACAGTAGATATTCAAATAATGTATTACATTACAATTGCTTCATGCTTTAATGAGGTAAGAAATTTAATTTATTACGTTTTGTTTTTTAATCTTCAGGGAACTGTGAAAAATCTTTTAGGAGGGTTCTTGAGTATTTTAACACAGACCGATTCTGATTTTCAAGGTGCGTTGACATGTTAAGTTTTAAACAATCGTTTTGAAACTATTTGGTTGTTATGTGAGATAAAGGGTTGATAACAAGTGCTTCCATTCGCAGAGTACCCTTTGGTTTCAGAAGTAGTTTATATGCATCTTCTCTCTGTTCCTCGGACCCGGACCCAGCAGTAGGCATGGCCCAGTGTCAGTGCTTCCACTGAATGGGCTTCCCCAGAGCTCTGCCTCAGGCCTCTCTGCAGGGCTATTTTATCACATCTCAAATCAAGATGGTATTTAATTCACAGGACTTTCTGGGGGGGGGGGGAGGCGTGAGGATCACCTGAGATAATGCCTGTAAATATACTTTGAACTCTTATATGTGCTACAGATATTAGCTATTAAAAGTTCTATGAATTTGTGTATAACTGACCATCATTTACGCTAAACCCCATAATGGAATAAAACAAACGTGCAGAGTAATTGTTGGTGATATTTAAGTGTGTTTATAATCTTCAGTATGTCTACTTTTTGTTATGTTACCTAATTTTATATTTAGAAAGCGAAAATTATAACTTAAACATTATCAAGATGAGAAGACTACTTTATGGTTGTCACTTAACAAATACTGTATTAATTTATGCTTTGAAAAAACTAGTTAATTTTAAATCTTACCAGTTGGGGTGACATTGGTTAATAAAATGGTATGCGTTTCAGGAGTACAGTTCTGTAATGCCCCAGCTGCATATTGTATTGTGTGTTCACCAACCCGAGACCCGTCTCCTTCCGTCACCATTTATCCCCCTTTACGCTCTTTTTCCTCCTCTTATCCTCCTTCCTTTCTCTCTGGAAACCACCATACTGCGTTCTCTGTCTTTTTACTTAATCCCATCACCTTTTTATGTTTCTTTACATAGTATTTCCACTTGACTTGGAGTTAACCAATCATTAAAGAAAGTGATTTTCTTGTGTTGTTTTTTTTTGTCAGTTGGTTAGTTTGTATTTAGTCATATATTTCTTCAGCAAATTTTTGGATTATTAGGTGGTTTATAATCCATTTAAAATGTGTCAATAGTATTTTATCTTTTTCAGTGAAATTGTTTATTCGTTTCCTCCATTAGCTGTGCATTTGGCTTTAACTTTTCCCCCTGTCTGTCTTTAACTCAGTTTGCCAGAGAGGACTGGTGGATCTGTTGGTGTCTTTGATGAGCTCAAGAACATGTTCGGAAGAGCTAACCCTTCTTCTGAGAATATTTCTGGAGAAATCTCCTTGTACAGTAAATATACCATAATTTCATTTTTTGTCACTGATATTTAATAGACTATTTTAAAACGTATTTGAAAATCACTAAGCCCTCTCTTTTGTTGTGGTAATTATATACTCAGCTCTGTGTTGTTATTTGTGAAGTTTCCAATTATTTTATTGCTAGAGGCCTGGTGCATAAAATTCATGCACCCTTAGCCCAGCCTGTACCCTCTCGCAGTCCGGGAGCCCTTGGGGGATGTCTGACTGACGGCTTAGGACTGCTCCCCGTCAGTTGGACATCCATAGCCCTGCCACGGAAGCGGAAGAGGCTTCCGCCACCACCGCTGCACTCACCAGCCATGAGGCCGGCTTCTGGCTGAGCAGTGCTCCCCCTCTGGGAGTGCACTGACCACTAGGAGACAGCTCCTATGTTGAGCATCTGCCCCTGGTGGTCACTGTGCGTCATAGCAACCAGGCGTTCCACCGTTCGGTTGATTTGCATATTAGCCTTTTATTATATAGGATTTACACATATTTTAACCATTTCACTTCTGTTTTGGCTAATCAGATATTTTGGATCATAGTCCACTTACTACAACCCACCCAATCTTTTTTGTGCTTAAGAAATGCTAAATAATTACCAAACATAAATTAATTATGAGTAATTATAACCATTTTGAGACTTGTTTCTAGAAAAATACTTCCACTCTTCTGTTGTCTTGTATCACTTCTCCTTTCCATGGGTGATTTTTAGACTTTTTTGCTGAAAAAATGCACTTTTTTTTTCAGCAAAAAAACCCCCACAAAAACAAAACAGGCCCCAGGCCCCTTTAGTCCACAGACTGATGCTCTATCCCCTGAGCCAAACCAGTTAGGGCTGTATTTAATTTTTAATACCTGGGCCAACTCATAACTATCAATCAGTTTGTACCATAAAAAGCATTTAAATCTCAAACAACCACAAGAGATAACACATTTTAATAATGAAGTCTCATATTTTATCTTAACTATATAAAAAATGAAAGTGTAATGACATAGTAGATAGGAGGTGTTTAGACAGGAATGCTGATATGTGTATGGGTATGTTTGTGTGTTCATTTGTAACCTGAATTTCAGGATTATTAAGTCCCTGGTATAAAATTATTGTAATGTTTCATTTGTTTTTCTTGTTCTCTAGGAGATTCTTCTCCTGGGTGTTCTGAAAATTGTTGAAAGTGATGTTGCTGTGAGCCCTTTACACTATCTGACCTTCCCCTTACTGCACACTCCGAACCTAAGCAACGGCATCTCATCACCCAAGTGCCCGGGGATCCTCAACAGCAAGGCCATGGGCCTGCTGAGAAGAGCACGCGTGTCCTGGAGCAGGAGGGAGGTGGACGGGGACAGCGTCCCCCAGCAGCTGCTGTCCTCCTGGCACGTAGCCCCCATGCACCTGCCCCTGCCGGGCCAGAACTGCTGGCCGCACCTCGCGGAGGGGTTCAGCGTCTCCCTGTGGTTCAACGTGGAGTGCGTCCAGGAAGCCGAGAGCCGCCCAGAAAAGCGAAGGAAGATCAGGAGACGAAGGAAGTCGTTAAGTTTACGGGACAGTAGTTTCGATGGAGCAGGTATGGCGACCGTGTTGTTGTCTGTTATACTCGGCTTTTTCGGGTGGCAGTTTTGGTTGTAGTTTACCGTGGTGACATCACAGTTGGTCAAATCATTCCTGCAATTCGTCTTCAGTTAGCATATATTTTATTTTATTTTATTATTCTTTTATATTCTTTATTGATGATACTACTACAGATATCCCTATTTTCCTCACCTTCGTTTGCTTCCACCCAGCCCCTGTCTCCTCCTGCAATTCCCCTTTCCTCTGTCACTCCGTTGTCTGTGTCCATGGGCTATGCAGATATGTTCTCCGGCTAATCTTTCACCTTCTTTCATCCCCCTCCCCTCTAACAGCTGCCAGTTTTTCCCATGTATCCAGGCCTCTGTTTCTATTTTGTTTGTCAGTTTATTTTGTTCATTAGATTCCACAAAGAAGTGAGATCACCTGATATTTGTTTTTCTGTGACTGGCTTACTTCACTTAGCATTAAAAGTTATTAAGTATTTTAAAATATATGATAACTGGAAGAACCATTTAGTAACTTTTAATGCACTCATTTACTATTTCACTCCCGGTGCTTATTTTGGAGTTACTTAATATCTAAACTTTGCTTTTGTTTAAACAGGCCATTCTGGGTAAATAATTTGCTACAAGTAAACAAGCATGCTTTCTTTCTCTATTTTCAAATTCACTTTTCCACCCAGTTTTTATCAGCTGCTTTGCTGACCATTGTTTTTTTTTGTTTGTTTTTTTTTAAAATATATTTTATTGATTTTGTACAGAGAGGAAAGGAAGGGAGAGAGATAGAGAGTTAGAAACATCAAAGAGAGAGAGTCATCGATCAGCTGCCTCTTGCACACCCCCTACTGGGGATATGCCCGCAACCAAGGTGCATGCCCTTGACCGGAATCGAACCCGGGACCTTTCAGTTCCCAAGCCGACGCTCTATCCATTGAGCCAAACCGGTTTCGGCAGCTTTGCTGACCATTCTAACCTGTTTCTTTCCTAGAGAACGACAGGTCAGAAGGCGCCGAGCACGCACATCCCGGCGAGAGGCTCCTAGAAGGAGGCTGCATCCACATGGTCTCCTTGGGATCCAAGGCGCTGATGATCCAAGTGTGGGCTGAGCCCCCCACAGGCACCTTCATCTTCCGGTAACTCCCATCCCCCATCCTATGGACAGGTCACGTGTTTCAGCGGTCCATGGAATACAATAACCGAGCAGGTTATGGCATAAAACAAAGACCTGTTGACTTTTTCCGTGAGCTTAAAAACAGAACTGGCTTTCAATTTCACTCACACATCTACACTTGTAGCTGTACACGAGCTAAAGACTGAGATCCGAAATTCCACATTTGCAGCTTGTACCTTCTCCCTCCTCTGCAGCCTGTGTGTGGATTCAAACGACGATGCAAAAGCTGTTTTACTGGCTCAGGCGGAATCACCGGAGAATGTCTTCCTCCCAAGCAAATGGCAGCATCTAGTGCTCACCTACTCCCAGCAGCCCCAGGGGAAAAAGAGCCTTCACGGGGAAGTCTCCATGTGGGTCTCTGGGCAGAGGTAGGAAATGTTTTTAGTAAACACTTGTTCACCTCGGTTACAGTTTTATGGAACACTATCGATCAGATCCCTATGTTAACATAGGGACCTAGGTCAGAGCTGGATATTTTCCTATTTATCACTTCCTTACAAAAGCAATTTCCCATAGAAGTAATTGTTAGAAATTAACATCTGGGTTTAGGGGAGCAATAAAGAAATGTGGGCATTTAGACATTTATGTGGAATATATTTTACATCAAGGCACTATAGTTTTGTCTTTCAAGCCCATATATTATAAAATTAGCCCAGAAGGATTATTTTAATTGACCAATGGCTTTAATACCTAAATTAAAATTAGGGATTCAGATAAAATTAGAATGACTAGAGAAAAATATAAGCCCACTTATTTCTGCATTACCTGAAGGAACTTTTTTTGCTATTTGATACAAGTTAGTGGTTTAATCTGTTCACCGAGCCATGAGCAAGTGACCAAGGACAAACATATTATTCTGTTGCTTGAAATTTGACACTGTCTTTATCACATTTAGAACTAACATAGAATGATTTCTACAAATAGTACACTTAAGAGGCCATTTTAATAATATAGCATTTAAAAACAACATATTAATGTTTTCTATTAATTTATACTTGATTAACAGCACACAAATCTGATAAGAAAATATAGTACATAGTGAATACTTAGTACTTAGTCCTCACTGAAGTGATTGATCTAACTTTGTTTTGATGTAGGAAACCTGATGTTACTTTGGATTTTATGCTTCCAAGAAAAACGAGCTTGTCGTCGGATAGCAATAAAACCTTCTGCATGATCGGCCATAGTTTGTCATCTCAGGAAGAGTTTCTGTCTCTGGCTGGAAAATGGCACCTGGGAAATTTGCTCCTCTTCAATGGTACATTTCCCTTCAAAGCATTTCCTAATTTTTCTTTCTGATAGCATGTGCTAAACTAAGTAAACTATCCTGGATAAAATATTAATCACTCTGTCTTTACTTGTACTTAATAAATACTGTATTTCCTTGATTTCGATATGACTTTTAAGATATTTTAACATTTTTATAATCTAAATGTTTCTTATAATCATTATGTACATTTAATGCAGCAGTACACAGCCTACTCACTACCCCCCCCTCCCAAGAATGAATCTTATCTTAAATCAACTTTATTTTGTAATCCTAGAAAACGCAGTATTGTGACAGGTAAACTTAGAATGGTTGCCTCTTTTATAATTTCAGTATATTCTATAAAAATAGCAACATTTAGGGAAAAGAAATATATGGTTTAAAAAGCACATCTGACTAAAAGTACTAAACCTGACTCATAGTAGCATTCAGACCTGTTTATTGAATAGTTGGATGAGAGGAATAAAGATATCAAATCATTTCATCTTAAAAAGGAATCTACTGAGGTATACCTTTCCATGGATTGAAAAAAATTAAAAAAAACCCTGTTTTCTATTTTAAGGAGCAAATAGAAACTTCATTATTTAATTTTATCAAGAGCTAACTTTGTATATATTAATTCATCTTCCATCAATTTGGAAATTGAGGCTTTAGTCAACTTTATAAGATACAGTAAACAGCTAAAAGAATCTGGCATAAAAATAGTTGTTTTCTTGCTCTTTGTGGAAAATCCCGGTTGGAATGTTTTGAATCAGTAACTATCTTTTTGCTGTCCAGGAGCGAAGGTTGGCTCCCAAGAGGCCTTCCACCTCTATGCCTGCGGCCCCAGCCACACCTCCATAATGCCGTGTAAGCATGGCTCGCCTGCGACTGACTACTCCAAATACATCAGCAAAGACATTCTGCAGTGCGACCAAATCAGAGGGCTCTTCCTGACCAAGAACGATGTGGACATTGGTCTCTTAATTGTAAGTTTTCATTCTAGGTTTAACTTTATAGTAACTACACATATGTATGTTTACTACAGTATATTGTTGTGTTCTGTTTTATTATTGTTGTTGTTATTCTCTTACTGTGCCTAGTTATAAATAAAACTTTATCAGAGAAACGTGTGTATAAGAGAAAACACCGTGCATATAGGGCTCAGTACGGTCCGTGATTTTAAGCATCCACTGGGGGTTCTGGGGTACATGCTCAGGGGTCAGGTGACCGGGAGCCAGAAGCTGATCGAAGTTCCTGTCTGCCCGAGAGAAACACTGAAAGTTCTATTTGGTTTTAGTTAAGTGGGCTGATGGTCTGGGATTTTATTCTCATATAAAGCAACCTCTGATCTTAGAGTCACTTTTATTTTTTAAATGTTAGTAAGTTGATTGAGGTGACATTGGTTCATAAGATTACCTGGATCTCAAGTATAATTCTATAATACATCGTCTGTATAGTGCATGTGTTACCTTTACATTCAAGCTCAGGAGCAGACTGAAAAGAAAAGAATTGCATACATTGATCCCAAGTTCCCATCTCATGGGGTTGGGATGGTATAATTGTAATGTTTATGTTGGTAGGACAGTGGCTGGCATGGGCATGCAGTGGGTGTGGGTAGCTCTGGCTGTTGTCAGTGGTGACAGTGAGTGTAACGATCAAAGCCGGAGCCTCAGTCTGGAGGACTTCCTTGCTATTCGCCAGCTGTCTAAGCTCTGCTTCCTTCCTGAGGGAGACTGTCTGTGTTTCAGGAGAGCCTTTCGGTTGTCTACACGGCGAGCTGCCCCGCTCAGTACACCATCTACGAGCCGGTCATCAGGCTTAAAGGGCAGGCCAGAGCCCCGCTCTCCCAGAGGCCCTTCAGCTCCAAGGACGTGCAGAGCGTCTCGCTGGAGCCCCACCACCTGAGGAGCCTCCGGCCCAGCGAGTGCGAGACCCTCCAGGGCATCCTGCACGAGATCGGGGGCACCGGGATCTTCGTGTTCCTCTTCGCCAGGGTAGGAGCCCCCGCTTTTATTTTATTTTTAAAAACTATATTTTATTGATTTTTCACAGAGAGGAAGAGAGAGAGATAGAGAGCTAGAAACATCGATGAAGAGAAACACCGACCAGCTGCCTCTTGCACACCCCCTACCGGGGATGTGCCTGCAACCCACATACATGCTCTTGACCGGAATCGAACCTGGAACCTGGGACCTTTGAGTCCGCAGGCCGACGCTCTACCGCTGAGCCAAACCGGTTTCGACTGAGCCACCGCTTTTAATTCCACCTGAAGAGAAGCGTGCTGTGATTGATACATGTCGGGGTTTCTTTCTGGTTACAGAAAAACTATACATCACCTATGTTACCCTTTTTAAGATTAGAAAACTTTTACTCTCAGCAAATCAGAAAAAAACGTACCCATTTCTTTTAGGTTGTGGAGATCAGCAGCCGTGAAGAAACTCAAGCGTTGGCTCTGCGCGTGCTCCTCTCGCTGACTAAGTACAACCAGCAGAGGATGCGGGAGCTGGAGAACTGCCACGGGCTCTCCATGGTGCACCAGGTGCTCACCAAGGCGAGGTGCACCGTTGGCTTCCACATCCTGAAGGTGCGTCCTCGCGGAGTTGACTCTCGCGCTGTCCCGGGCAGTGAGATACTTGATGAAATTTAGAATTACCCAGCGGTGTCCCTTTGAAGTTAATGTTGTGATTGCTCAAGTTGAAGGCTTAATGCTTCTGTGGAATTTTGGGGCGAACCCATCATTAACGCATCCTGTGTTGGTGCGAATTGCCCATAGACCCTTCTGGAAGGTTGCTGTGGGGAAGATCTCCTTCGTGCCGACGAGAACGGCGAGTTCACGTTAGATGTGGAGTCGAAGGCTATCATCCAGGACATTAAACTGCTCGAGGAGCTGCTGCTCGACTGGAAGGTCTGGAGGAAGGCAGAGGCACGTGCTTACGGTTTCCTTCCGGGGAAAACGCGCGGCAGGGGCTGAGCCCGCTCAGTGCCGAGCGCCCAGGGCACGCAGTGTTACCGCATCGGGAGCTTCTCCTGTGCCTGCCTGAGGCTGGGCTCATTCCTCCCTCTCCCTCCCCCTCCCTATAGCCAGCACCCCACCTTCCGTGTCTGTGCGTTTGGCTACTGGAGAGACTTCATGTCAGGGGAATCATTCTGTATCTTTTTGTGCCTGGCTCGTCTCCCTTAGCATCATGTCTTCAGGCCCCATGTTGTAGCACCTGGCAAGGTTTCTTCCCTTGTTAAGACTGCAAAGTGGTCCAGTGTGTGTGTCCCACATTTTCTTTATCCATTTATCGGTCGCTGGACATGTGGGGTTACTCCCCCATGTCGGTGACTGTGCGCAATGCTGCAGTGAACATGGGCGTGCAGGTGCCCTGCCACGTCCTGTGTTCAGTGTGTTTGAATATGTAAGCCCAGAAGTGGGGGTGCTGAATCAGTGGTGCTTCTGGTTTTCATTTTTGAGGATTCCCCAGACTCTTTTCTGTAAGAGCTGCACCATTTTACCATCCCACCAGCCATGTGGCAGGGTTCCAGTTTCTCTGCTCGCCAACAATGTTATTTTCTGTGTGAGGGGTTGCTGCTTTTTTCATAATGGCCTCTCTGTTGGGTGTGAGGTGACACTGCGTGCAAATAACATTAAGTGCTCTAGCCCAGTGGTCGGCAAACTCCTTAGTCCGCAGAGCCAAATATCAACAGCACAACGACTGAAATGTCTTTGGAGAGCCACATTTTTTAGACTTAAACTTCTTCTAACACCACTTCTTCAACATAGACTCGCCCAGGCCGTGGTGTTTTGTGGCAGAGCCACACTCCAGGGGCCAAAGAGCCGCCTGTGGCTCGCGATCCTTATTTGCCGACCACTGCTCTAGACCATCAGCCTTCCCACGGCCTTCGAGGATGGACAGTATTTTCAAAAAGTGAGCTCTCCCGGGTTGTTGGCTAAAGAGAAGAACATCTTTTCAACGTCACTGTCGCTGTGTCCGCAGCCAGGCGTGTGGGCGGCGCTGCTGGCGGCCCTGGAAGTGCTCATCCGGGCAGACCACCCGCAGCAGATGTTCAATGTCAAGCAGCTGCTGAGGGCGCGAGTGGTTCATCACTTCCTGCTGACCTGTCAGGTTCTGCAGGTACGTCCCTCTTGGCTTCACTCCGGGAGCTTTATTGCCATCGCTTGTGTTTAGTAGCCAATACTGTGGGCTCAGTACTTGTCAGGGGGCTGTTTCTCCCTCCCCACTTCTCTCCTTTCCCGGTGCCCTTCTTCCAGCAAACACTCTGGGGTTTTCCAACCCCTGCCGCTTACAGTTTGTCCCTAACGCAGTGACAAACAAGAGGAACAGCTGCTGAGTATCTGAGATGCTCCGTTAGGTTGGATATAAGGATAATTGTGTAGCCTCTTGACCATCAATAATAGTGAAAGTTTAACTTGTTCTGAGCTTTGCACAGTGGCAGCCTCGTAGCCAGTGAGGTTTGCCTGATGTGTGATGATTGCTGACTAAACCTTGGTCCACATTCTTTTTAAAAAAATATATTTTATTGATTTTTTTACAGAGAGGAAGAGAGAGAGAATTAGAAACATCGATGAGAGAGAAACATTGATCAGCTGCCTCCTGCACACCCCCTACTGGGAGTGGGCCTGCAACCGAGGTATATGCCCTTGACTGGAATCGAACCTGGGACCCTTCAGTCTGCAGGCTGACTCTCTATCCACTGAGCCACACCGGTTTCGGCCTTGGTCCACATTCATAAATAACAACACCACCTGCCCTTCCCCTCGCTCCGGTGCTCTCACTCTGCTCGTGTGTGATTTGTTAGTTTTATCTCGATTATGATATTGCGGTTTATTTCCTCCCATAAGACTCCTGAGGGAAGAGTTGATTACACTACCCACAAGGTGGGCACAGGCCCCTCGCTGACCGAATATTGTTGAGCCGTGTCTCTCAGTCACTGCCTTCGTGTCTCCATTTAGAAACTTGTTGGCCAGTCTGCAGTGAGTTTATCTGACAGTGGAAAGTTTTTCTTCAGTCTTTCCATGTCAGAAAAATAACACATAAATTTGGATATTTCAATATAGAGTCTCACGTCGTATTATTTCTAAAATGCTGACTCTGCCCAGTAGTCAACGGAGGCGCCAAATGCGAACCTGGGCAGCCTGCGTGCCTGGTGGGGATGCTGGACAGCCTTCCCCAATCGCCAGGATAAGGGGCTGCAGTGAAATCACTGCTGGTTTTCATGAGCTCTAATAGCAGAGTTGCTTGAATTGGGAAATGGCAACTCAATGTAATGGTGACTATGGTAGACACAGTTCTATCTTAAAAGGAGTCTCTGGCTTAAATGAAAAATGGAAGTTAAGTTGACAGTTCTCTTTAAATCTAAGAAAAGTTTGGTTTTTATTTTTCCAGGAACACAAAGAGGGGCAGCTTACCTCCATGCCCCGAGAGGTTTGTAGATCATTTGTGAAAATTATAGCAGAAGTCCTTGGATCTCCTCCAGACTTGGAATTATTGACAATTATCTTCAATTTCCTTTTAGCAGTTCACCCTCCTACTAATACTTACATTTGTCACAACCCAACCAACTTCTACTTTTCTTTGCACATAGGTAGGTATAACCATTGTTGGTAGATCTTGGTCTCCATTCTTGTTCTTTCTTCCCTCTTTCTTCCATCCACATTTGTTTGATAGCCATTGAGTGGCCTCTGTGTGGTAGAAACTGCCCTTCTTCCACCTGAGGGCTGTGAAATGAACCAGGCACGGCCTCTGCCCTCAGAGAGCTTAAATGCCAAGAGAGAGGAGGCATAACTCGGACAACAACAACAGGGCAGAAAGCTGATTCAGGTTTAGATTTGTCACGTTCATGTTGCAGTTAAGAAATCCAGCCTTGAAAGGAAGATTAAGCTGTAGCTATCAATTCTAGAGTCATTTGAGGCCTTGACAAGGAGATATATATATATAAAAAAATATAAGAGAGTCCTTTCCTCTGTGAATGGAGAGTCTCCTTAGAGAGATCAGATTAACATAAAAAGTGAGTAAATTTACTGTCCAACTATAGAAACCAAATACACAAGGAAAGCAGTAATGGTCTCACAAAGCTACAGTAAGAGATTGTCCCGGACTCACATGTCAAATATAAAATATATCGTGTTTTTCACTTGGAACATCTTTTGTATTTTTGTAAAGGGTTGCAGTAAGATTTGCTTTTAACGTTACATTTTTGTTTTGCCCCTAAACATGTTACTGTCTCAACGGGTGTGTTTATTCTGACTCCAGATGGCAAGATCTTCCAGGAGAAAGTGGACTCGATCGTGTCCCTGCGGCACTTCAGCAGCGGAGGGCGGGCCGCCCCGGGCCCGGGGCTGATGCCCATAAGTCCGTCCGCCTTCGCCGCGTCCCCGCCCGAAGGTACAAGCCCTAAGAATGCAAGCACAGCCCCGCGCTTAGCTCTGAGTAGAGACCGAGAGAAACGTCGATGTGAGAGACGCGCCTGGACTGGTTGCCTTCTGCAGGAGTCCGACCAGGCGTTCAGGTGGCGTTTCTCTCCTCTCTTCTTCCCAGGACACGGCTCCTCTGGCAGCATCCCCCCACGGACGGGGGCCCGCCTGCAGCGCTGCAGAAGCCTGCCCGCGCTCCCCACGTCCTCCCTCGTGCCGCCCCGGGCACTGGCCGGAGGCTCGGACGGGGGCATCGACAGGTGCCCGGGTGCTGCGGGCAGCCTGGCGGTTCCCCAGCCTGAGCAGTGGCACGCCCCCGGGAGCTCAGAGGCGCTGCAGCAGGCCGAGGAGAAGGAGGAAGCGTCCATCAGCAGCTGCGAGTCTGCAGAGGCCGTCTGCGAGGTGGACGCGGCCCTCCCGAGACCGGCCTCCGCCGGGGACATCCCCAGAGGGCTCGGAGTGGATCAGCAGGAGCTGGAGGCAGAGCCCAGGGCGGACGGGGACAGCCCCGGGGACGAGTCCTGCCCGCGCCGCCCTGACTACCTGCGGGGCCTGGCCTCCTTCCAGCGCAGCCAGAGCACCGTGGCCAGCCTGGGGCTGGCCTTCCCCTCGCAGAGCAGGGCCGCCGCCGTGCGCCGCTGGCCCAGCCTGGTGGACAGGAACGCCGAGGACTGGGCCGGCCTGGCCCTCTCTCCGGGCGATGAGCCCAGCTACCTCCGCGCTGCACACGCCCCCAGGTAGTCACCCATGTCCGCAAGCCGTCCCTCCATGTCTCACTGTTCTTTTGAGAATTCTATGCTTCTAGAAACATCTGTCTTCATTATATCACTTCTTTTTTAAAAATATATATATTTTTTTATTGATTTTTTACAGAGAGGAAGAGAGAGGGTTAGAGAGTTAGAAACATCGATAAGAGAGAGAATCATCGACCAGCTGCCTCCTGCACACCTCCCACTGGGGATGTGCCCGCAACCAAGGTCCATGCCCTTGACCGGAATTGAACCTGGGACCCTTCAGTCCGCAGGCTGACGCTCTATCCACTGAGCCACACCGGTTTCGGCTCATTTTGTCACTTTTTAATATAATGGATATCGATGGCAAACAGAAAGACACCTTTCTCCCTGTTTTAATCCTCCGTAATAACGAATTCCATATTTAACAAAATGCTAAACCATAGAGAGCTCTCAAAGAAAACGGTCTGTAGTTTATCTAATTTGTGGTTATTAGAGAAAAACATTTCAGATCAGGGAAACGATGACTTACTGTTGTTTCCTGAAGCGCCTCGGCACAGCAGACACTGGCCACCTGCCTGACGGCACTGAAGTGCGGCTGGTGCAGAGGAGCTGACTTTTTATCTGGTTTTATTTTATCTTAATTTTAAATTATCTTTATTGATTTCAGAGAAAAAGGAAGAGAGAGAAAGAAACATCAATGATGAGGGAAAATCATGGATCAGCTGCCTCCTGCACGTTCCCAACTGGAGATCGAGCCCATAGCACTGGGCATGTACCCGTGACTGGAATCGAACCTGGGATCCTTTAGTCACGGGCCAGTGTTCTACCCACTGAGCCAAACCACTAGGGCTTCACCTGATTTTAAATAGTGCAGAGAGCACCAGCGGCTTCGATGTTGGGCTTCACAGGTGTAGGACAGGAGAGTGTTTCGGAGACTGGATGCCTAAAAGTATTGGTGACAAACCTGATGGTAAATCTGTGAATCGCAGTTCAATCAGGAAGCATTTCAAATGTTGACATTAAGAATGTTTCACACGTTAAAACCGCTCAGTCACGTTCCACATGGCGACAGTGTAGGGCAGTAAGCGATCACAGGGACGGCCGTGGGTTCCAAACGCTGCGGGTGCAGGGCCCACAGCCCGGATGTGTGTGGTTCCCTAGGCGATAGCGGGCTGGCATCACTCACGACGGTTTCTCAGGACGCCTCCCGGCGGGCGGCCAGGCGGCTCAGGACCGTCCGCATCCCGATTCTCAGGGAAGCCGCGGGGCCCTGGCCTCCGGGCCGCGGTGTGAGAGCGCGCCCGCCCTGTTGCAGGGCCCCGGAGGACACCCTGGTCCCCATCTGCTGCGGGCTGTACGAGCTCCTCAGCGGTGTGCTCCTCATCCTGCCGGACGCCATGCTGGGGGACGTGATGGACAAGCTCATCCAGGCCGAGGCGCTGCTGGTGCTGGTGAACCACCCCTCCCCCGCCATCCAGCGGGGCGTTGTCCAGGTGAGGGCGCGTGCGTGTGGGAAGCAGAGCCCGTCACGCCGTGAGCGAGCGGGGTCACTGGGGAGGGGGGGAGGCGGCACCTTCTCCGCGAGGGGCACCGAGGTCCGGGGAAGGGACGGGTTCCTGACACGGGCGCCTTGTAATGACACGGGGAGGCGGGACAGGAACAGGTTAGACCTGGCGGCCAGGGGGATGGCTCCTGGGCTCTGAGCACGGATCCAAGGAAGAAGCGAGTTCGGGAGGAAAAGAATTAGTTTGGTTTTCCGCATGTCCTCTTTAAGATGCCGGGGGGGGGGGGGGGGGGGGGAATGGAGGCCTGTGCTTAGGGTACATACTGTGCCAGACGTCTAGAAACTGGTCCAGGTGCTACACGCAGGCCGGGAGAGAGAGCGCAAACCTGTGGGCCGATATTTCCCCTTCAGAATTGGGCGCATACATTCTGAAGGCGGCCAGTCCACCAGGTGTCACGTTAAGCTAAAAAGTGTCCCCTTTCGCTATGGAGATGGCATTGTCCTTAGCTTTCTATGTTCTAGAACGTGAAATTGAGCGGTAACTTACAAGCGCAACACCTGTCTGATGCGTACGCACTACATAAAGTCCTCATGCATTCTTTAACGCGTCTTCCTCTCCCCCCAGCTGTTAGATGTGTATTTCAACAGAGCCTCTAAGGAGCAGAAAGATAAGTTTCTGAAGAACCAGGGCTTTTCCTTGCTCGCCAACCAGCTGTACCTCCACCGGGGGACTCCGGAGCTGCTGGACTGCTTCATAGAAATGTTCTTTGGTCGACACATTGGCCCCGATGATGAGTAAGTGGGTTCTTTCCTCCACCGCCATTGAGGCTCTTTTGTCCTCAATGGAAAACCTAAGGAACTGTCTGTATCAAAAGCACGTGGTCTTCCTTTGTATTTCATTCACTAGCTGGGGACTAGACAGGTGGATGGGTATAAAGGAAAGAAAGTGGGAGTGGAAATTAGGCATCTCTGTTCTCAGGGGGCGGTCCCTAACCGAAACAGCAGAGGATGCCAGGGTCCCTGGAGAGGCCCCTCCCACCCCTTGCCTTCAGGCTGTCTGGGGGCGGAGCCATCCCTGGCCTGGAACCCCTGGGGCACTGATGCTGAGCTCTGGCCTGGCGCAGTGCTGAAGGATTGGCAAACAAGCCCAAAAGTGAAAGAACACTTTCTTCCAAACCAGAAGTTTAGCAGGAAAGTTAAACTGTGATTTCTATCTATGATAGAGAGAAATGAGTGTCTCATTATTGTTATTATTATTATTATTACTAAAGGTCCAATGCATCGGCTGGCCCTGGCAGCCTCAGCTTCGTCTGGAAGGTCTTCTGGCTGCTCGGTCTAATTAGCATATTAGCTGTTTATTATAGGATTATTCAGTAGACCGGTTCAGGCCTGGTGGACTTGCCTTATTGCCGTCAGGAGAACAGAGCAGAGCTTTTCATGTGTGCACAGCTTTGGGCTCTTCCAGAGCGGTTCTGCGTCATCTCATTTGATTCCCACAACGGCCTTGAGGAGAATGGCAGAGATCACCGCCTGTATTTGACAGATCAGGAGAAGAGGCACAAAATGCTTGAATAGTCTCCCTTCGTGACTGAAGCAAATCGTACGGGGCAAGAGGTCCAGACTTTTTGCTAGACCTCGGTTTACTAGCTCATGTCTGTCAAATGCTGTGGAACTTTATTATTATTTTCTTCTGCACTTGTTATAGTGATAACGAAGGGGCCGATGGATGAATTGAAGTGAGTCCGATAAAACTATGAAATTATTTCTGTGTTTCATTTGTGCAGGACAGACTTCTAACAACACCTTTTATCTTATTTTCGGAGGGGTCTATAACCTAAAACAAGATGAACCACCCATGTTCCACACATTTATTTTATAGCCTCAAAATCAAAACGGTCCTTATCGCAATCACTTTCCTGCTTTCGTGGCTAATTGTGCTCTTACCTGTGCATTACTTATTGTAGGTTTGATCAGGAAGACGTGAAAAACCTGGGAGTGTTCCAGAAGTGGGCTGTCATTCCTGTCCTAGGGCTAATAGAGACCTCTCTGTATGACAACACGCTCCTGCATAACACTCTGCTGCTCCTTCTCCAAATACTGAATTCCTGTGCGAAGGTCGCAGACATGTTGTTGGATAACGGTCTTCTCTATGTGCTGTGTAACACGGTGGCAGCCCTGAACGGACTGGAAAAGAAGTAAGTTTTAAATCATCATTTGAAGCCACACCTGATAAATATTTCAGAAATGGAGAACTTCAGTAATAGGTTACAGTAGAGCATCTGGTTTTCCATAATGCTCTCGGAGAACTTTTTTCTTGCAAAACATTAAGTAAGATTAAGTTTGGAGGGGACATAGTGTCCATCATTTTCAGCAAAGTTTTGTAATAAGAAGATATTAATATGACTTTTTAGGGGCTTAGAACCCAAAGACAAGTTGAAAAAGTAGGTTTACAATTGTTCATATGGAAAATAATATAATAATTAAGAAATGCTAATACGATAATTAACTGTCATGCACTCACAACTGTAAACCTACTTTTGCCCCACCCTGTATATTTACCAAGCTTCCACCATAGTCTTGTAAACATTACTGTGCCATCAGAAGCAGGAGCTTGAGGATAGTCAAGTGACGGCCATACAGCTAGTAATGTGTGTGAGATTCAGAGAGTTAATCAATGGATCCAAGTTCATCTCTGAGAAGCCTTCTCAGAACGTTGCTGTTCATACCTGTGAACTCTCTGCCTTGGTGTGGGCTGAGAGCCTGCCGGTCTCTTCCCAGAGGAGCTCCTGTTAACTTGCTTTATTTTTGTTTTGCTTGCTTTTTGTTTTAATACATTTTTATTGATCTCAGAGAGGAAGGGAGAGGGATAGAGATGGACACATCAATGATGAGAGAGAATCATTGATCGGCTGCCTTCTGCCCGACCCCCACTGGAGATTGAGCCCACAACCTGGGCATGTACCCTTGATCGGAATCGAACCCAGAACCCTTCAGTCCCCAGGCCGATGCTCTGTCCACTGAGACAAACCAGTCAGGGCTTAGCCTGTGTTTTTTATACTTTCCACGTTTATCTCTTTAATTGCCTGGTTCTTTGCAAGACAGTCAGCTTTTTGACAAAAGTCAGCATGTGTCCTCACGTGTCAGTTTTCAGCCTGCAGGTCGTGTCGCCCGCCCCAGGGTGAGTGTGGGTCAGTGGTGAGTGAACGCACGCTGGCGGACCAGAACTAACCGTTCTCTCTGTCTTAAATCCTCTCTCTGTTTCTCTAGCATTCCTTTGAACGAATACAAGTTGCTTGCTTGCGATATACAGCAACTTCTCGTCTCCGTCACAATTCACGCTTGCAGCTCCGCGGGCCCCCAGTATTTCAAAGTGATCGAAGACCTCATTGTGCTGCTTGGGTATCTTCAAAACAGCAAGAACAAGAGGACACAGAGTAAGGTTCCTCTTTATGAAGTTCGGGGGGCGTTGTATAGTAGCAAAAAAGCTTATTTGAACTGAATCGCTTTCTTCTTGGAAACTGTTTTACTGAAAGTTTAATTTTGTGATGATATGGATCAGCTCTAAAAAGAAGCCTTTTTAAGTGATAAAAATAAAGAGTGGTGCCTCTATGTAATTAGTGGCTGGCAGCATATTAAAAGAAGCCACTGATTTTTCTTACCAAGTAGACTCAAAAGGCTTATATTGAATAATAATGCCCTTTTAGTTTGCTTTAAAGGCAAATCTTAAAGAGAGTATGAAACAAAAATGTGAGAATTTCTGGTTAAACGTTTACCTTATCTATTAAAAAGTTTGGTCTTTAAAACAATTACATAAAATAAAATAAATGTGTGGGATAGTATTTTATAGCGACCATTTGGAAATTTGCCTTAAAATTGCTTTGAAAGACAATTTAAAAATGTTTACTACCATCAAGAACCCATGTTGATTTAAAATTTTTGAAAATATATTTTTATTGATTTCAGAGAGGAAGGGAGAGAGAGAAAAACATCCATGTTGAGAAAGAATCACTCATTCGCTGCCCCCCACTGGGGATTGAGCCCACAACCTGGACATGTGCCCTTGACCAGAATCGAACCTGGGACCCTTCAGTCTGCAGGCCGATGCTCTACCCACTGAGCTAAGCCAGTTAGGGCTGATCGAAATGCTTAGTTCTGATAAAGCACTATTGACAGTTTCAATGCCGTGTAAATACAGAAAGCAGAGTTGACAGCCACGTAGCTTGCAGACACTGTGCTGCCTGTGTTTCCAGGCATGGCCGTCGCGCTGCAGTTCCGCGTCCTGCAGGCCGCCCTGGAGTTCATAAGGACCACCGCCAACCACGATGCCAACAGCCTCCCCGAGTCCTCCCCGGCTCCTCCTCCCCATCACACAGTCTTCCCGAAGCGCAAGAGCATTGCTGGTGAGTGTTAAATTGCAGGCTGCTGGGCTCTCCTGCGTTCCGACGCTATTCACGTTTTTAAATGCTGTCAGTTTAGGAACTTAAGCTGTAACTATGAGGGAAGTGTTCCTCCAGAAGAAGCTGCTCGCTGCTTTCTGCGCTGAGCTGTTCCCATGCAGTTACTCCGAGCACCTGCCACGTGCTAAGCACTGCGTTCAGTAGAAGGTGCACTGACTTAAAGGCAGACACAGCATCTGCCCTGGCAGAGATGATGAGCGAGTAAACAAGTGTAGTGAGTCTGTAACAGGGTGGCAGCTAACATCAGGAGTCAGGGAAGTGTCTGTGGAGGTGAGATTTGAGGTCTTAAAGGACACAAAGGCGACAGGAATGGAGGGATCAGAAGTCATGTGTCCCAGGCAGAGGCGGGGGTGGTGGTGGGGGGTAAAGAGGGGAGCTGAGGCCGGAGAAGAGAAGGAAGCTGCTGTCCCACTGCCAGGTCAGCCTGCGCCAGTCTCACTGCGGGCACCGCTGCCATGTCATCCCGTGTCAGTCTGACTGCCAGGCATGTGCTTCCACTCATCCCACCACCCAGCAAACAAGGCCCTGTGGTGCAGACATCTTTCCATGGACATACACATAGAAAGAACACACAAATGTTCCTTGTTTAACAAGTGCATCCTCTGTGATATTGATTTGCTGCAACAGTCTTTCCTAACTTCTACCAAGCAACAAAGGTGTTACTGCTTTTTTACTTTTCTGGTTTTGCTATTATAAAAAAAAACAACATTGTTTTTATTTGCTTCATTTTTTGTCTCCAAGGTGACTCTACCCAACAAAATGTAATAACTAAAAATACCGATTATCTGAAAGAGTAGACAATCTAAAATGCTATTAAAATATTTAAATATCTTACAGGATGAGTCATTAAAACTTACCGTGTTTTAGTATGTGTAAGTCATATTTAGAGAGGTCGTTTATGGAAACTGATCTGTGTCTTCATAATCTAAAACAAAGGTTCAATTCCGGCGAAGGGTGCCGCTCTTCCTCCCCTCCCGAGACGCCATTTTCGTTCCTACGGTCACCTCCCGATGCTCTCCTCCTCCCGTGCGTTCAGGCGAGACTCCTTCCCTCCAGGCTCTTCCGGATCCGCTCCCGGGGTGGCCCCTCTCGGAGCAGGTGCAGTGGCACTGCTGGATGCCAGCTCTCCCGTCCCCTGGGGAAGCACTGCTCCGGAAATGCTCTTGGGATTGAATCCAAGCAACACATGTGCGGCAGATGGCTCACAGCAAATCACCGGGGTGGTGCTCACCTTTCTGATCTCCTCACCTTCCCTCCGACTGATTTCTGCTGTGTCACTGTGTACACTTTCAGAACTGTTTTACCAAGTTCAGCAGTGGCAATCATCCAGAAATAGTAATGTTCTTACTAAAACACATGTGCTTGATAAATCTGTTGATTGTCTTAGGATATGAGCAAGTGCAACAGTACTTGAAAATACTTTGTCAGAACATTCTGAGCTACTTGTATGTGTCCTCCTAATTCCTGGAGTTTTTTAGGAAACTCAAATCTTGCCGAACAGTAGCCATCCTCCTAAGCGAGGTCACCTGGTCCCGCGTCCTTAGTTAGGATTCTGCAGTCGGAAGTACTGTCGCACTTCTTCAAAGAGGGGGAGCATTGCTTTCTCAGAATCACTCTTTCCTGTGAAAATTAACTTCGCGTTAATAAGATCTGTTCACTTTCCGATGATCGAAAAGGGGCAGCAAAACTAGTTTCCTGGCTCTTGCTAACTCTGGCACCTGCTGTTTTAATGGATGTATTTGCAGGTCCTCGGAAATGTCCCCTTGCTCACACGGACCCCTTCCTGATGCGCATGCGCTCGGTGGCGAGCGATGAGCTTCACATGATGATTCAGCGGAGGATGAGCCAGGAGAGCCCCTGGCAGGCGAGCGAGGCCGAGCTGGTGCAGAGGCTGCAGAGACTCACCGTGCTGGCGGTTAACAGAATTATTTACCAAGGTGAACGTTGTTCTGTTACACGTGTGATATAATAACCGAGAGCAGCCACTGAAAAGCTGTGCCAAGAAATGCACTCAGAAGCGCTATAGATAAGTCAAAATGAGATTCTTAAAAAAATTAGCAAATAATCTCAAGAAGGCAGGAAAAAAATACACAGTAATTGTTAATCAGTACTAGGAAAACCATACATTCAAGATTTTTAAAAAAAAATACATATATTTTTATTGGTTTCAGAGAGGACGGGAGAGGGAGAGAGAGAGAGAGAAACATCAGTGATGAGGGAGAATCATTGATTGGCTGCCTCCTGCACGCCCCACACTAGGGAACAAGCCCACAACATGGGCATGAGCCTAGACCAGGAATCGAACCCCAGACCCTTCAGTCCACAGGCCAGCACTATCCACTGAGGCAAACCAGCTAGGGCTACCCAAGATTTTTTTTTTTTTAAATTTTTAATTTATATTTGGGGCGCCTGGCCCTCAGGCTAAACTCTAAAACTGAACCACTTTTCTTCCTGGCCCCACATTGAATGAGAGAAACCGCTCTGCACGTCCATTGTAAGCATCACGTGATCTTGACATGTGATTCATACAAGAACCTCGTGGCTTTAATGACATCATAGTGTAGTTCCTCTTCATTAGTAAAATAAATCTGTAATTTAGAATTGCATGGTTTATATGCATTTAAACTTCGACACTGTCTTACGTGAGATCACTTTCTCTGTGTGTTCAGGTAATTCACTTACACGTCTGTATTAGGACAACTGAATCAGCATCATTACATTTGTAATGGCTAGGTACCAGTGATTTAACTGCCTTTTTATTTATTTTTTAAATTCAGAGTTTAATCCAGACGTTGCTGCCATTTTGAGTACTCCAGAAAATGCCACTCAGAGCAAGACCTCAGCTTCCCAGACTGAAATTTCTGAAGAAAATAGTCATCATGAACAGATTTCCGTTTTCAATCCATTTCAGAAGGAAATACTGACATATCTCATAGAGGGATTCAAAGTATCTATAGTAAGTAAATTAATGAAATGGGGAATGTTCATTCCCACAAACGGAGTAGAGGTTTTTTTGTTTTCATTGTTGACACTATTACACATCCCCCCTCCCCCCCTTTCCCACATCCACGTACCACCCCCCTTCCCTCTGGCCGTCACCTCACCGTTGTCTGTGCCTATGTGCTCTGCACCGGTACATGTTCTTTAGCTAATCCCTTCATCTTGTCATCCAGTCCCCTCTCAGCCCTCCCCTCTGACAGCTGCCAGGCTGCTCCATGCATGCTTGCCTCGGATCTATTTTGTTCATTGGTTTATTTTGTTCATTAGATCTCACATATAAGTGAGGCCATGTGGTATTTGTCTTTCTCTGACTGGCTTATTTCACTTAGCGTAATAACCTCCAAGCCCATCCATGCTGTTGCAAAAGGTCAGAGTGCCTTCTTTTTTTTTACAGCTGGGTTCTCACGTTTTTGTTTATCCGTCCATCCATCAGTGAGCATTTGGATTGCTTCCACCTTTCGGCGATTTGGACGGAGGTGGACGTCCACCTCTTTTAAACACTGTTATATGGATGTGTGTGTCTTTCTAATTTAGACTGTCTTTAGAAACCTAGAATAAAACGGGTTACGTGATCTTTGTTAGAATCGTGTGGAGGTTAGTATGTTATGACTTCAAAAGTCTGATCCTAATTCATTTCTGTTCTGGTTTAAAAGGGCTCCAGTAAACCCAGTGGTTCCAAGCAGCAGTGGGCGAAGATCGTGTGGTCTTGTAAGGAGACCTTCCGCACGCAGCTGGGGAGGCTGCTCGCCCACATCCTGTCCCCAGCCCACCCTGCCCAGGAGAGAAAGCAGATTTTTGAAATAGTTCATGAGCCAAATCATCAGGAAATACTACGAGACTGTCTTAGCCCATCTTTGCAAGTAAGAATCTGTATTTCATGAACGTAAAAACTGTGGGTGAAACATCAAATTGCACAAAACAAGAATTGAAATTAAACTGTATTTTCATGCAAAATATAAGTACTAGAGGCCCGGTGCACGAAATTTGTGCACAGGCAGGGTCCCTAGGCCTCGCTGGTGATCAGGGCCGATCGGGGGGCCTTCTGGCTGCTGGCCAGGGCCTGCCTTCATTCCACACTATCCTCTGGTGGTCAGTGCAAGTGAACGAACGCTTGGTCTCCCAGTCAAACTCCCGAGGGGACACTTTGCATATTAGCCTTCTATATATATATATATATATATATATATATATATATATATATATATACACACACACACACAAATATATATATGTAGTTTTCTTACCAAGTGCCACCTGAGGTCTTTCTTCAGATGCTCTCCACCAGTCTTGCCTGGATCTGTTTGTTCCCCATTCTTTTCAGTGCTTAAGTAAAGGTCCGTATACAAGTTCCTACAAGTTATTAGAATCATTAAATGATTGATCAGAGGATGTTAAAATGAGTTATTAGAAACAACTTCAATGGCTATTCAAGGCGAATAAAAACATTTCTGATAGTTTCTCAAGATGATTTGAGAATACCAAATGGAAATATTTTCAGTTAATTAAGAACCTTGCCTCTAAGACTCAAATGTGAAAATACTCCCGTCATTTGCATTCCTCTTTAGTTGCCAACTCTCCAGGCCTTTTACTCAGAGAGCATCTGCTCCGCTTCCGCTCTGGGCCGGGTGGCAGCTGTCTCCCGATTCATTTAAAATGTCGCCTAGGCTGAGCTCTGCTATTCCGGTCCTGCACATGTTCCTCTCATGCTTCTAGGAAGTGGCAGGATGCGATGAGCATGTTAATGTACATGCCACCCAGAATGCAAGAGTTTCCAAACCCATTTGTTGGCATTTAATACCATTCACAGTTTAAAGTGTGAGCGGTATTTGTACTAATGCACATTCTCACAGTAAAATTCTGCATCTTTAACTTGTTGGCACATTTAATGTCTCAATAGCACACAGCGAACAGGTAACAATGCGGTATAACTTCTAAAGGATGGAAGGGCCACCCAAAAATTCATGCGTCAGAGCTTGGTGTGGGCTCACGCTGTGAAGGGCAATTGCCATGGCCCCGAGTAGCAGCTCTCATGTCAGTCACAGGGTCTGCTCATCAAAGATTGGCCTAGCCTGGCCAGCATGGCTCAGTGGTTGAACATTAACCTATGAACCAGGAGGTCATGGGTCAGGGCACAAGCCCAGGTGGTGGGCTTGATCCCCAGTAGGGGGCGTGCCGGAGGCAGCCGATCCATGATTCTCTCTCATCTTATGTCATACATCCAATACAGAATCACATTTTTCCAGTTGTCCCCAAAATGTCTTTTTTTTTTAAAGCTCATTTATTCCAGCCGCATCTAACCAAATAAACCTAGCAGTATAAATTAATTGAACTACTGTTAAATAATTTCACTGTAAGAAGCAGAAATTCTTCATGCCTGAAAAAAATGTACTGCTTCGTTTCCCAGCATGGAGCCAAGTTAGTGCTGTATCTGTCGGAGCTGATCCATAATCACCCGGATGAGCTGACGTGGGAGGAGCTGGACACGGCCGAGCTGCTGATGAGCGCGTTGCAGGCGTGTGGCCACCGGGTCCCCCCGCCCGGTGTGGCCGCAAAGCCAGAGTTGCTCAGGGCCATCAGAGAGGTGAGCCGGCGAAGCAGCACATGTTCTCAGGAGACCCCGCTGGCCGAAACGAAAGGGTGTGGAAGGCTTGGTTTTCATTATTGATGTCCGTGGGGATGAATCTGAAATACTTGCTTTCTGTGGGTGGCTTTTTTTTTTTTTTTTTTAACCGTGAGAGAGCCAGTAGACTCATCGAAGGACTGTTTGTTTTGTTTTTTGTTTTTTTAATATATATTTTATTGATTTTTTACATAGAGGAAGAGACAGGGATAGAGAGTTAGAAACATCGATGAGAGAGAATCATCGACCAGCTGCCTCTTGCACACCCACCGCTGGGGATGTGCCTGCAACCAAGGCACATGCCCTTGACCGGAATCGAACCTGGGACCCTTCAGTCCGCAGGCCGACGCTCTAGCCTAGGGGTGTCGAACTCAATCAGAGAAGGGGCCAAAATCTAAAATTCAGCCTAAATCGCGGGCCAAATGGTTTACTGAACAGTCATAAACCGTCATTGTGATGGAAATGCAGCGGAGTGCAGTGATGACAGCGCGGTGCGGGCCACATTGCAAGGCCTGGCGGGACGGATTTGGCCCGCGGGCCTTGTGTTTGACACGTGCTCTAGCCACTGAGCCGCACCGGTTTCGGCTGAAGGACTGTTGTATCCTCTGGTCATTCTCCTCCGCTACCTGTAGCGTTCAGTGAAGGGAAGACCTTCACCTTGACAAGCGAGCGGAGGAACCGGCCTTAGTTGTGGGTTCTTCAATGAAAACAAAATAAGGAAGGAGCCCCTGTGCAAACCCGCCAGGCGTGGCAGCCCAGGCTGACTCTTCTCCCTCCCTCCTCTGCCCACACTGCAGGGAATGAGCGCCTTATCTAAGCGCTGCCGTCTTTCCTGTTCTGTCTCCTGAGGACAGTGCTTTTCCTGGGTTAGCCTGGCCTTACAGTTAGTTTCCTGGGTTCTGTGCCAATGCCAGATGATAAAGGATACATTTCACATTAATACTTTTTAGGAACAAAAGAAATATGAAACAGAAGAAGGTGTGAGCAAAGCCACCTGGCAGAAAACAGTTAAAAATAACCAACAAAGGTAGGATTGTTAAGTGTTGTAAAGTCACGTCTTTTAGGAATCCATTGGATTTCACAGAGACTTCGAACTGTGTGTTTTTTATTTAATTTTATTTTTTCCATTTATCCCCTCTATGCCCTCTTCCCCCTCAACTCCTCTCTCCCACCATCACTGCACTGTTGTCCATGTCCATGAGTTCTCTCTTTTTTTCTATTTTACTCAACCCCTCCCCTACCTTTCACCCTCCCCGTCTCCCACCAGAGCTGTCTGCCTGCTCTCTATCTCTGAATCTGTCTGTGTTTTGCTTGGTAGTTCAGTGAATTCCACACATGAGTGCAATCATAGTATATAACAGTGGTCTTTCTCTGACTGGCTTATTTCACATAGCAGGATAGTCTCCAGGTCCATTTTATGCTGTCGCAAAGGGAAAATTTTCCTTTCTTGTTCTGGCAGAGTAATATTCCATGTGTAAATGTACCACAGCTCTCTCCCTACACATCTCACGTTCCACATGTGCTTAACTTACGGGCAGTCTTGTCTGTTCAGTCTCTTCCAGCGCCTCGATTTAAAATCCAAGGAGATATCCAAAATCGCTGCGGACATCACGCAGGCGGTGTCCCTGTCCCAGGGGATCGAGAGGAAGAAGGTGATCCAGCACATCCGGGGCATGTACAAGGTCGACCTGAGCGCCAGCCGGCACTGGCAGGAGCTGAGCCAGCAGCTGACGCACGACAGGTGCGCCGGGGGAGCCGGGAGACTTCCCCTTCACGTCAGCCTTTCGTGCGATGGATCTGTATTCCGGAGCCGAATTATAGAAATAGTTTGGGGGTTTTTCTTTTTCTCTCTCTTTTTTTTTTTTTTTTAATATATTTTATTGATATTTTACAGAGAGGAAGGGAGAGAGATAGAGAGCTAGAAACGTCGATGAGAGAGAAACATCGTTCAGCTGCCTCTTGCACATCCCCTACTGGGGATGTGCCCGCAACCAAGGTACATGCCCTTGACCGGAATCGAACCCGGGACCTTTCAGTCCGCAGACCGATGCTCTACCACTGAGCCAAACCGGTTTCGGCTCTTTTTCTCTTTTTAACAGCTGGGTTTTTAACTGAATAGTTTTTGTTTGTTTGTTTGTTTGTTTTTAAATATATTTTATTGATTTTTTACAGAGAGGAAGGGAGAGAGATAGAGAGCTAGAAACGTCGATGAGAGAGAAACATCAGCTAGCTGCCTCTTGCACACTCCCTACTGGGGATGTGCCCGCAACCAAGGTACATGCCCTTGACCGGAATCGAACCCGGGACCTTTCAGTCCGCAGGCCGACGCTCTACCCACTGAGCCAAACCGGTCTGGGCCTGAATAGTTTTTTTACTTGCTGAATTTGTACAATAACTTTTTAAAGCTACACGCACTTCAGGCTGCCCCTTGAGACCTTCTTTTCTCTTGACGAACAGAGCAGTCTGGTATGACCCCACCTACTACCCCACTTCCTGGCAGTTGGACCCCACGGAAGGGCCCAATCGAGAGAGGAGGCGCCTGCAAAGATGCTACCTCACCATTCCCAACAAGTACCTCCTGAGGGACCGGCAGAGGCCGGAAGGTAACGGTGCCCCCAGCGCGGCTGCGCGTGGCCAGGGAACTGTGGTCTCCGTCCGGGGAGAGGTGACGTGCGCGCTCTTCCTCGCAGGCGCGGTCAGACCGCCCCTCTCCTACCTCTTCGAAGACAAGACGCACTCTTCTTTCTCCTCCACCGTGAAGGACAAAGCTGCAAGTGAGTCTATCAGGTAACGGAACCCGTGAGCCGCTGGTGCTTCTGGGGGAGGAGTTAAAGGTCCCAGAGCCTGCTGGAGGACTTCCCGCTCCATTACAGACAGCGTGTGGCTTTAAGAGAGGCCCAGACAGGGCTCACGCGAGGACCAGGTTGGATGCCAGAGTCCGAAAGGGAAAGGCAGTTTGATGGGAGGGGCCCTGGGACTTGTGTCCTACTGCTCTGGTCTTATTTGCACACGGACGCTTCCGTACTCACCTGTCCTGACAGCCTGTGAAATAGCGCCATCCACGGGCGATCAGGGCGGTGATGACAGGTTCAGGATCTGAGCCTGCGAATGTGCCCTCTAGCTTTCTGATCGTGGCCAGTTCCTCACCTCTCCATGTCCGTTTCCTTACCTGCTGTTCCCATGAGGAAGGCGGCGACGCCAACGTAGCTTAGCCTTGCCCAGTAGTGATGGGTCAGTTATTGGCGTGCCCATTTTATAGATGGAAAACTGAGACTCAAAGAATGTAAGTGGCTTGCCTAAAGAATAGAGGAAGTTTTGTGACTCTAAATCCTGTTTTTCCTAGACTTTTCTTACGTGATTGAAGTATCTTCGATCAATGAATATTTGCTTATTTACTGGACAATATAACATATTCAAGTCTCTCTTCATAACTGAATCCTGTATTCTGCCTGCAGGATACAGGGGTTGTTAGCCTTTACTAAAAGTTTCCGTCATTTTCCTCCTCTACTAGGATGTTAAAGAATGAGATACTATTTTTACGAGGGTTTTGACAAGACTTCTTGTACTTGAAACTTGTCTGCTTTGCTGAAATCTTTCACAAGATAAAATAAATCTTACACTTTCTAAAACTGCTCAAAACATTCACTCATCGTGACTTTAAATGTGTTCTGACAGAGTGAATCGACGGTGCATCAGCGTCGCCCCATCTAGGGAGACCGCCGGCGAATTGTTATTGGGTAAGTCAGGTTTTGGAGAGTTTTACCCCGACTCACTGCTTTGTTTCTTTCGTGACCAGTGAACACATTGTTTTGGCCACTGCCCTTAAAGGCATTAAATTCTCTCTTAACATCCCATGGGTTATCTTGCCTTGACATCATGTATAATGCACGCTCATGGTTGTGAAGAAATGGCAGCATTTTAATGTTTCTAAAGCTGACTTTCTTCATGAGCGCACATTTTCATATTTAACCATTCCTTTTATTTTATATCTGATCAAATTCCCATGGTAACCCTGTGAATAGAGTCCTCCCCACCCCTTATTTCCATAAGGTAACAAAGACACTGGGAGGCTGAGCAACTTGCTGAGATCTTGTGGCTGCTGCTCACAACTAGGGATCGGTGTCAAGAACTATTTCTGGGCGATAGAGCCAGGCCACTGGCTCCAAAGATCCTGCTTTTTACCATGTGAGGTAACGGCGCAATACATCTCTAAACTCACATGCGGTAATGTGTTGCAGGTAAATGTGGAATGTATTTTGTGGAAGATAATGCTTCTGATACAGTTGAAAGTTCGGTGAGTAGATGCTTAAGTTTGCACTAATTAAATCCACACACATTTCAGATATGTATAAATTCAGTATCACGAAAAAGCAAGCAGAACTCTCAGAGCTCATTTATTGTGACGATATGTGTAGATTTATCTCAAATGAATACATTTTATAAAAGACAGTTCTAAAAAGCAGCTTAAACTTGATAGTCGAATTCTGCTGGCTCATGCTCAATGTTCTTTAACCTAAAACTGCTCTAAAAAATCAAGTCTATTAGCTAAAAACAAGCCTAATTTTCATTCAGCATTTTGAAGCGTGTGGTAGAGGATTTTCAGAGAATCTCATCTACCGTATTGCATTTTGATATTTTTTAAGAATCTGCAGTTAAAACGATGATTGATATTTCATGCACAGCGGGCACTTTCCTCTCTCTCCTTTGCGCAGAGCCCTCAGGGAGAGCTGGAACCGGCGTCCTTCTCCTGGACGTACGAGGAAATCAAAGAAGTCCACAAGCGCTGGTGGCAGCTGCGGGACAACGCCCTGGAGGTCTTCCTGACCAACGGCCGGACCCTGCTGCTGGCCCTGGACAGCACCAAGGTGGGTGGGCCGGACAGCACCGAGGTGGGTGGGCCGGACAGCACCGAGGTGGGTGGGCCGGACAGCACCAAGGTGGGTGGGCTGGACAGCACCGAGGTGGGTGTGCTGGACAGCGCCGAGGTGGGTGGGCTACCCTGCGGCCGACATGCTGCCAGTTCATGGCACCGGGCACCACTCAGAGCGCTCAGGTTTAACTGATCTAAACCTTTACTCACTGTTTCTGAAATCAAATAAAAATCGCCTTATTTCTCAGTCCTAATTAAAGTAAACCCTAGGTTTCTGTACTCTAACACTATTAAATCCTCATTTCCAAAGGGACTGTATCTGTGATGAATGAATGAATGAATGAATGACCAGCCTGTAGTAGTAGGTTTTACGTCTGACCAGCCCTCCGTGGACCCCCGCAGCCTTCAGCTGCTGTGGCTGCCCTCGTGGACCAAAGGCCTCTGGGAGAGAGCTGGTGGGCTTGCCCCTCCAGGTCCTTCCGGCCCTCCCGGGTTCTCTTCCTCCTCACCCTCTCTACTCGCTCTGCACAGCGCCCGGGGGCCTCGAGCTGCTGGCCTTGTGCTCCCGCTCCATGTCCTCAGCGGCCGGGCCGTCAGCAGCATTAGCCCCGGCTGATTGGTCTCTTCCTCCTGAGAAGCAGCGTCCCCACCGGCCTGTCTGCTTCCCCTGCGCGCAGGTTCGCGACGACGTGTACCACAGCATCCTGGCCAACGACCTCCCCAACCTGCTGGAGTACGGCAACATCAGCGCGCTGACCAACCTGTGGTACACGGGCCAGATCACCAACTTCGAGTACCTGACCCACCTGAACAAGCACGCTGGCCGGTCCTTCAACGACCTCATGCAGTACCCCGTGTTCCCCTTCGTCCTGGCCGACTACGTCAGCGAGACCCTGGACCTCGGGGACCCGGCCGTCTACAGGTAACCGGAGCGCCCCCTCTCGGCTGCGTCCACACGCTGCTTGTTCCGTTAAAGCTCCTGTCGTAGGAGAGCTCTGTGGGCCACCTACGCACCTGAGGGTGCAGCCCTCGCGGCAGCTCGGTCCCGGCAGCCTCAGGGTGCCATCCCGTCCCACCCTCTCTCCTTCTAGAAACCTCTCCAAGCCCATCGCCGTGCAGTACAAGGAAAAGGAAGACCGCTACATGGACACGTACAAGGTGGGTTCCGCGTTCCCGCCTTTCTGATAAAGGAAAACCGGAGCTTTGGTGGTTGTTTTTTTTTAATATATATTTTATTGATTTTGTACAGAGAGGAAGGGAGAGAGAGAGAGAGAGAGAGAGAGAGAGAGAGAGAGCTAGAAACATCGATGAGAGAGAGTCATCGATCAGCTGCCTCTTGCACACCCCCTACTGGGGATCTGCCCGCAACCAAGGTACATGCCCTTGACCGGAATCGAACCTGGGACCCTTCAGTCCCCAAGCCGACGCTCTATCCATTGAGCCAAACCGGTCCCGGCTGGAGCTTTGTTTTAAAGTGTTGTGTTTAGGAATTTTAAACGCATAGTATTGACTTTTCTGGTTTTCACGTGTTTGTACTTTGACAGGCAGCTGGAAATCAGTATATGATTTTAAATATTAGTCTGTCTCAATGCTCTGAACACATTTTCCCCCCAAAAAAAGAAGTCCACTTATTAGAGTGGCATAGATTGGAAGCTAGTAATCCATTGTTATACTGAAATGTATAAATAACTGTATTCCTCATAAAAATCACAAACGTTTCCAGGGACACTATCCCCTGGGCTTATTTCTAGAACAATATCATTGTGTTTAGGGTGCACCATAATCTCTTATTGTTCGTAGTCAGCCAATTATGCATTGCTTTATTAACAGAAATGAGCAGGTTTTATTTTATTTTATCTTTTTTGTTAACCCTCGTCCGAGAATATTTTCTCCACTGATTTTTAGAGAGAGTGGGAGGGAGGAAGGAGGGGAGGAAAGGGGAGAGGGTGCAGCCTGGGAGGTGCCTCCAGGTGGTCAGGCAGCAGCTGGGCACCCCGGGGGACACCCCAGGCACTCAGGTGGCTGAGGTCGGAACAGGAGGGCGGGCGGCGCGGAGAGCACACCCAGGGCGGGCAGGGAGGGGCTGTGAAGCCACGTGGGGGGCTCGGTGGCCATCGTGTCCGGTTCCCTGTGTCCTCAGTACCTGGAGGAGGAGTTCCGCAAAGGGGCCCGCGAGGACGACCCGCTGCCACCTGTGCAGCCCTACCACTACGGCTCCCACTACTCCAACAGCGGCACCGTGCTGCACTTCCTGGTCCGCATGCCGCCCTTCACCCGCATGTTCCTGGCCTACCAAGGTGAGCCTGGCCGGCCGGAGGGCACGGGGCCGCCTCCTGGGCTGCTCCGGGCCAGTCAGACCACGGGAAAGGAGTTCTGCGGGAGAAGCGGGCACATCCCGGTAAAATGTGCCTTGCTTGATGCCGAGACTAGTCCGTGATCGTTTCCAAATGAAACGTGCTCACTTTCAGCAAGTTCGGAGGCGTTTTAGAGGGATCGTGGGGCCCCTGAGGAGCGTCCGCCCCCCAGTCTCCAGGGCTGCCCTCAGCCAGGGGTGCAGCTCAGCGCTGGAGTGAGAAGTCTGCACCAGGAAAACTTAGTGAGGAGGGAGTTAGAGCATCTAAAAAGTAGGAAGAAAAAGGAGTCCTAACAATTAGAGGTAAAGGAGTAATTTTGCTTCCCAATGGGGAAAAGGGCATTCATCCACTTGAACTTGAATTTTACTTATTATTCACTAGTTCCATAAACAAACTGTTACTGAGTACCGAGTATGTGCTAGGTATTGGTCATACCCCAGGCCCTTGCTCTAATGGAACTTCCATTCTCCTTGGGTAGATAGTCATCAATTAAACAAATGCTAGAAATTCATCTAGTTTTATATAATATTATGAAAACAACACAGATTTTAAATAATATAATATGGTCTCAAATTATGTATAGAAATTTATTTTCAAGAATAAATGAATAACTCTTAAATGAAATGATGGATAAGCAAATGAACCTCATTTTACTAGTCATCTTTTTGAAGTAGTGAGATAAATGATGGCAGGCTCCAAATGGAGTCGGCCTCTGTCTTACTTCTTACTTCTGTTTCTTTCCAGACCAAAGCTTTGACATCCCAGACAGAACCTTCCACTCCATGCACACGACCTGGCGTCTCTCCTCCTTTGAGTCCATGACTGACGTGAAAGAACTCATCCCGGAGTTCTTCTACCTCCCGGAGTTCCTAGTCAACCGAGAAGGTAGAACAGCTCATTTCTAGTTTACGTTTTTGAGCATTTGTACTTATTTGATAATTTTCCAGAAATAAAGATAGCTGTTTTAAGTCCTAAAATTTGAGTCCATAAGTCAGAGAAATACCTTTATTAAGTACATCATTTGATTCCCAAGTCAGCTTGAGGATTTTAAGTGTTTTATAGGACCACATATATCTGGAAAACTGTGACTTTGAACTCTTGAAATTTTTTTGTAAACATGTATTTTAATTTTGTTACAGAAATTATTATTTTTTTTTTCAGATTACAAGGTAATTTTAAAAAATGAATCACACATTTATTGAGAACACAATGTGAATTAGCCAGAATCTCAGTAAATTTTATGAGGAATGATAGTGAATAAGTAAAAAACTCTAAACAGAAATATATATATATATATATATATATATATAAAAGTTAATATACAAAGTGTCCCCTAGGGAGTTCGACCAGGAGACCCAGAGTTCACTTGCTATGACGTGCGCTGACCACCAGGTGGTGGCACGGAACAAAGGAAGGCCCCAGCCGGCAGCCGGAAGGTCCCGTTTGGCCCCGATCACCAGCCAGGCCTAGGGACCCTTCCCGTGCACGAATTTCCTGCTCCGCTGAGATGAGTCTCGTTTGCAGGTTTCGATTTCGGCGTGCGTCAGAACGGCGAGCGGGTGAACCACGTCAACCTGCCGCCCTGGGCGCGGAGCGACCCGCGCCTCTTCATCCTCATCCACCGCCAGGCGCTGGAGTCGGACCACGTGTCCCAGAACATCTGCCAGTGGGTGGACCTGGTGTTCGGGTACAAGCAGAAGGGGAAGGCGTCCGTCCACGCCATCAATGTGTTCCATCCCGCGGTAAGCGATGGAGAGGAACCCGCACTTACGTAGCGGAAGGCAGAGCCGAGTGCGTGGAGCTCAGCTGCTTTCCGTAAAATGCCCAAGTTATCAGACTTGGCAGGGACACTAAACTGTTAGAACCGAAGTAACCCTCTCAAACCTAACAATATTGTCTGTTAGTGTCATTTCTGCACTCCCCCACATATCCCTTTTGACAAACGACCTTCTCAATAATTTAACATTAGACATCAAGTCTCTGGTCTTAAGGTAAAAATCAATTTTATAAGCATACCCGATCGGCGTCCGTCACTCAGCATGCAGTATTCCCGCCCAGCCCTTCAGAAACATCAGTTCCTAATCTGAGCCAGGCCAGCAATGATCGTGAACCCGATCAAAAGCGTCCGAGAGTGGTTTCCGTGGAAACAGGAGCGGAGCAGGCCCCGCGTGGCGAGCAGAGCACGTGCTCCCGGCCTGCGGTGCTCCTGCCCGTCTGGCTTCACACAGACCCGCCCCCCTCACCTTTCAGACGTATTTTGGGATGGACGTGTCTGCGGTGGAAGATCCGGTTCAGAGGCGAGCGCTGGAAACCATGATCAAGACGTACGGCCAGACGCCCCGCCAGCTCTTCCAGTCGGCCCACGTGAGCCGGCCGGGGCCGAAGCTCAGCCTCGAGGGCGAGCTGCCCGCGGCCGTGGGGCTGCTCGTGCAGCTGGCCTTCAGGGAGCCCCGGGAGCCGGCCAGGGAAGCCCCGCAGCCGGTAGGCCGTGTTGGGGGGCAGTTACACTGAGCAGGGACCGCCTGTGCTCGGGCCTTCCCGCGCCGCGATGAGAACAAGCTGCCTCTTAGAGTGGGACGTCGGTGCAATTTTTACTTTGAAATCGAAAATCAAAGCAAGAAAACTGAAAAGCAAAATAAGTCCTAATCGTCCACTCCGCTCTCCCTTGTGAAGCGGCGTACGCCGGAGACGTGGATGGGGGTCTCCAGGGGGTGCCGAGGGGAATCCCAGAGGGCGAGGAGGGGGAGGACGGGGGGCCTCGGGGCTGGGAGCTGAGTTGCTCTCTCTCACTTTGTTTACAACGTGGACTGGGAGACCTCTGTCTTTACCGCCTCTTTTGAAACCGTGCTTTTTCTCCTCCGGCTCAGAGCCCTCTGTCGTGGGTAAAAGGCCTGAAGTGGGGCGAGTACGTGGGCTCTCCGAGCGCCCCGGTGCCCGTGGTCTGCTTCAGCCAGCCCCACGGGGAGGCGCTGGCCTCCCTGCAGGCGCTGCCCACGCGGGCCATCTGCGGCCTGTCCCGCAACTTCTGCCTCCTGATGACCTACAGCAAGGAGCAAGGTGAGGGCCAGCGAGCGTCGTCCCGGTCTCCCTGAGGTGTGAGCGTTCCCAGGCCTCCGGGCTGCTGCTGTTCCGTCTCTCAGTTCCCTGAGTCCTGGGTGCACACCGATCCGATCGGTGGTGACTTCGTCCGAAGCAGGAGCTGAACCATCCGCTCCATGGAACAAACGGGGGGTGGATGCAGCGCAATCGGAAATGAGGGGGGAGTTTGAAGGCACAAGAATAAGCAGCTCAGCTCATAGACAGACACTTTATCGATCGATAACTTGATGAAAATATTCCCTTTGAGGCTCTTGAATCCCAGAATAGAAACTTAGTGACCATCGAGTCTGAAGGTAAACAAACAGCAAAGCGAGGAGCCATCAGAGCCGGGTTTAAAACCACCTGTGGCTGAAAAGCCGTCCTCGCACCCTCAGGCGCCGACACCTTCAGCCACGTGCTGGAGGGTGCTGGCAGGAGGCCCCTGCCTGTGCCCAGGTGTCCCCGAGGCACGGACAGCGCCATCGCTGCCCTTTATAAAAACCCCGGGGGCCCAGCTGAGAAGGAACCGCGTAGCCTGAAGGAAGAGGATGAGCATAAACGCGTTCCCCATGCACGTGAGACGCCCTTGCACAGGTGCTGTGTGAGCCCCAGCCGTGCCCTGTGCATCGGGGCTGCAGGCACAGAGCCTGACCCTCCCTCCCACCCCCCAGGCGTGCGGAGCATGAACAGCACGGACATCCAGTGGTCGGCCATCCTGAGCTGGGGCTACGCCGACAACATCCTGAGGCTGAAGAGCAAGCAGAGCGAGCCGCCTGTCAACTTCATCCAGAGCTCCCCGCAGCACCAGGTGAGTGGCCGCGGTGCTCGTTAATAGAGATGGAACATGCTCCCGGGCCCGGCCATGGCGGCCAGCGACGTGTCCCGGCCAGCAGCTGGTGCCGCTGGGCGCCTGCTGGTCTCGGGGCTCCCAGAGGCCCCGTGTCTCGTGGAGACGTGGGTCAACCCAGCTGTCGCCAGGGGCCCGGTGTGAGAACAGAGTCAGCATGGCTTTCCCCTCCTAGCGCCCGCCTGCTTTGTTAGAAATTTTAATGAGCGCGTAAGCACTGCAGCACCATTTCTGACACGCAAGCTTTGGCACCCAGACGTCATTACCGACGCAGGAATACTCTCCTAAGGCCTGTCAGCAGAATGGGAGGGTCCAGACTGCCAGCTAGCGCTGTGTGACGAAGCACTCCAGCCAGTAACCAACTGGAGAGAGTGCTGTTTCCTTTCCGTCCTTAGAAACACAGCTCACCCCTTAGCTCGGGAGAAAGTTCATTAGGATGTTACATGAAGACTGATACACAGACCGTCTTCCTCATCATCATCATCATCATCATCAGAGATGGGAGTCCTGCTGTCTCTTTATCTTCGTTTTCTGATTAATTAGGAACAAGTGGCCTTGTGTGTGCGTGCGTGTGTGTCTGTGTGAGAGAGAGTGTGTGTGAGCGTGTAAGTGGATGTACACAGAAAAATGTAGATGCATGAACATTTTAATTTGGAAGCAGCTTTAGGCACCTGATTCAAGTTGCAGAATACTCTCTTTTTATATCTTTGCACCACGCTAATCATGGCAAGTAGAATGTTTCCCTCAAATTTTGTGATCTGATATTTTGAAAACAGTCGTCAGAAAGGAGCAGCATTTCCGACGCTTTTTGAAACACGCTCACCTGCGATGTGTCTCTCCCCAAGGTGACCAGCTGCGCGTGGGTGTCTGACAGCTGCCAGCTGTTCACCGGGAGCCGCTGTGGCGTCATCACCGCCTACGCCAACAGGATGGCGGGCGGCGCGGTGGGTCCGGGCGGCGCGGCGGGTCTGGCGGGTGTTCCTGCTCTTGAGCTAAATGCTGGGAGGGACCCCTTTGTCATTGGTTTTATCTGACGTTTTCCTTCATTTTGGCCGTCAGCCCTCAGAGATAGAGATGGAGTCGCAGGTGCACCTCTACGGGCACACCGAGGAGGTCACCAGCCTGTGTGTCTGCAAACCCTACAGCATCCTGATCAGCGTGAGCCGCGACGGCACCTGCATCATCTGGGACCTGAACAGGTACCGCGGGTCCCGGGCTGCCCAGCCAGTTCCCACCGAGGGACATCCTAGAACTTCAGGCTGAATATAATTATGTTTCCTGTGCATATGCACATCCCTGGCTCTGGTCTTCCAGGCTGTGCTACGTGCAGACTCTGGCAGGACACAAGAGCCCCGTCACGGCCGTCTCGGCCAGCGAAACGACGGGCGACATTGCCACCGTGTGCGACTCAGGTGAGCCAGCCCTGGGCACAGGGACGCTGGCGGGTGCCGTTCCCGGTCCCTCCAGTCGCGTGCCCTGTTGACAGCTTGTGTGTGTGTATTAACGTGCAACCAGGCAGAGCGTCAGCCTGCGCACCGGGCCCGGCTCTGTGCCCGGTCACCGGCATGCACCTGGGCTGCGGGTCCATTCCCTGGTCCCCGTTGGGGGAAACGGGGGACCCCTGCAGTACGCTCAGCAATAAAAATAAAAGGTCTGGCTTTCCAGCCGGGTAATCTGGAGTAACCCTGTTCTTCAGAGCCACCAGGTCCCGTCTCACAGAGGAGCTCAGAGAAGATGCTCTCTGTCTGGAGCTCGGTCAGCTCCCCGATCGGTCCTCTCCGATTCCGCTGTGGCTGGTCCGGGGCTGGAGCCTGAGTCAGCATTAACTTGCCTGCTGGCCATTGTGTTTGGGTGAACACGCAGAGCCCCGTGTGACTTGCAGGCAGGGCTTGCATCTGTCCGCCTGCAGCCAGGACCGGCCTGTCGGCGCCAGCGCCAGCTCAGGCCCCGGGGCAGCAGGGCGGTGCGGCCTCGGTGACCTGCTGGTTGTGGTTCCAGCTGGCGGGGGCAGTGACCTCAGGCTCTGGACGGTGAACGGGGACCTGGTGGGACACGTGCACTGCAGGGAGGTCATCTGCTCCATGGCCTTCTCCAACCAGCCGGAGGGCGTGTCCATCAACGTGATCGCAGGCGGCCTGGAGAACGGGACCGTGCGGTGAGGCGCGGGCGGGGGGCCGCTTTTCTCCCCGAGGGCACGGCGGTTTCCAAAAGAAGCTTTCACTATCTATTAGGCATTTGACATTTAGCCATTAGAAATGCAGAACGCCTTCAGCCATTCGTGTTTTATTTCTAAAAGACACGTTAGTGCGGTTTTGAAGGTTTGTGTTGTGAACTGTCGAAGATGAACAGTAGACCCAGTGGGTGTCCTTCCTCCGTCCCCCCACCCCACTCACTTCCCAGCAACCACTGCTGCTGCTGGGTGGCTTTTAACAAACAAGCAGGCGGGTGGGCTGTCCTCGCGAAGCCACGCGGCTGGCGTGACCGTGCGCCTTCCCCTCAGGCTGTGGAGCACGTGGGACCTGAAGCCCGTGCGGGAGATCGCCTTCCCCAAGTCCAGCAAGCCCATCGTCAGGTGAGCCTCCCCGCCTCACCCTGGCTCTGAGTGACGCACACGGAGGTGGGAGCCGGGAAACAGCCAGCGCTTACCCGCCCCAGGCTCCCAGCCCCGCTGGCCAAAGCAGGCCGGTCCTCGTCATTGTGGAGCCTAAGTCTGAGTCAGGACCCCAGTCTAACTGACCAGCACGCGGGCGGGCCCAGGAAAGGCCTTCCGGTTGAAGACATGGTCATGTGACTGACGGCCCCGGGCGTGCCAGACTGGACCGATCAGCGGCCCTCCTCCGACTTTTTAAAACTCGATGAGACATAAGGAATGCAGATTTACCCTATTAAATACATTCATTTTCAGTTCGCTAAATTGCAAGTTTAACGACCCTGATCACTTATTTTTATATTTAAGTGAAGTTAAATATCTCCATAAGTCACTTATTTCTATAAAGGAGAAAAGGTAGAACTGTTACATTTTTTAAAGTTCCCTGCGCCCAAGTAATGGTGTGGAAGTCAGAAAGGATAGACAGGAAGGAGCAGGAAGGTGGGGAAGGAAGGGGTGGAGCCAACACTGCTCCCTGCCGCCCGCTAGAGAGCCCACCGGCCAATCAGCCGGCCGCATGGCCACGGCAGGCACGCAGAGAGTGTCACTTGTGTGCCCAGATAGGGATCTGGTGTGATCCCCCGTGTGGAGACACACGTGCAGACGGCTCTCTCTCCCACAGCCTCACGTTCTCCTGCGACGGCCACCACCTGTACACGGCCAACAGCGAGGGCACGGTGATCGCCTGGTGCCGCCGGGACCAGCAGCGCCTGAAGCACCCCATGTTCTACTCCTTCCTGAGCAGCTACGCGGCCGGCTGAGGGCTCCAGGTTAGGGGGCTGAACCTGAAGAATCGACGAGCAAACACCTTCCAGATAATTCCATAACCTTCATCCCCACAGACCTCTGCCTGCGCTCCCGGGGCTGGGCGGGAGGGGGGGTGGGCTCGCTGCAAGGGGCGGTCAGGAGGGGGTGACGGCAGGTGTGGCCAGCAGGACTGGGGCCTGTGTGAGGCAGTCACATCCGTCCGGTTTCTTCTGAAGAGATAACTCCCTCTCCCCCCCCACCCCACCCCCCAAAAAAAAGCAAAGGAAAGGGCCAAGAAGTCGGGTCCTGATGACACCCAGGCGTTCACGGGCTGGCCGGCCGCCTGCCGGAAACGGACCTCTAAGGACTCCGTGTTAGACGGCAGCTGCTGCCATAGACCCCGGGTTTGTTGGCAGCCACACTCCAGGATGGGGCGCTCTGATGTCAGACCCGTCCCCTGTCTCCATAAAAACCCTGCTTAAAACCCGTAACGCTAGCCGCCGCTGCCCTTAGCTGAGTCGCTGAGATGGAAGCCGGGGAGACGCCAGGCCCGCGTGCAGGAGGCTCCCCCCAGCGAGGCGACAGCTCGCTTTGTCTTAGAAAGGCCGGATGGCCCTGCGGGACGGTCTCCACTCCGGTTCTGCTGCCTGCGCCCGAGGATTCCAGCGGCAGCGGAGACACCTCACTGTGCCCAGCACGCTGCCCGCGTCGGACCGGACCCCGAAGCTCCTGCGACGGCCTCCCCCCTGGTTGAGGCCACGTGTCTGTCCACCGGGAGCTGCTGCCTCAGCTGTGAAGACACTAAGAGCTGAGCGACACGTGACCACACGGTACACACGTGTTCCCGCCTGAGAAGACCGGCGCATTTGTATGAAAAGTTGACTCCTACGGTGTTTACAGAACTACTTTTGTAACTTCCAGACTTTCTAAAAGATCCTGCGTAAAAACCCCACGGAACACGATTCCTGAGGCTCTGCGTGGGGGGATGCGACAGGCCCCAGGGGCCGTGGCCGTGGCCGTGGCCGTGGCCGTGACCCGGAGCCTGGACTAGAGCCGCACCCGTTGCCTCGTACAGACCTGGGGCTCCGAGGCCCCACAGCGGGGACCTTCCTCCTGATCACGTGGCAGTGGCCTTCCTCCTGATCACGTGGCAGTGGCCTGCTTGTTTTAAAAAACTGCAGCTGCTGTCCGCTTCCACCTTTCTGCTGAGAGCGGTGACTGAGTCCCATTGGCAGAGGCTGCTCCTCGGTCCTTTATTTTTAAGGCTGAATTCCGTCACTTACCTAAAGAAATATGCAAGTGACTGATCTTGTAAAGAGTGCAATGTTCTATTTTTATGTAAAAATAAACATGAACCGGGGGATTATTTATTCAGCATGAAACCTCACGTGCACATGTGTACACGGACACCTGTAACGCCGGCCCTTCCCCTGTGCCCACTGCGCTCAGCGGGAGGAAATCCCATAAAACAGACGTGAAGGCGGCCCTCACCCCCAGCGCCGAGGGGACAGGACCCGCCTGCACCCACCTCCCTCCCTGGGCCTGGGGGGCGCGCTGCCAGGGGGTCAGGGAGGCGGGCAGGCGGGCGGGGAGCCTATAGGGAGAAGGGGAGGGGGGTGAAGGGGAGAAAGGGGCGCAGGGACCTGGGCGGGGCTGGGGGTGGAGGCTGAGGGGCGGAACCGGGGAGGGAGCCCCCGTGATGCCCGGTGACGTGGGCGCGGGCGGGATTTGCGGAGGAAGCCGCGGGCACCGGCTCCCCGCTGCAGACCCAGGCTCCCGCCCCGTGCCCACGGGGGACGGTGCGGCGAGGCCGGGCTCCCCGCGCGGGGGACAAAGGCGGCGGCGGGGCTGTGCGGACAGGCGGGCGGGGACGTCCCGGATCCGTTGCCCACGGCGCTGCGGCAGGAAGAGCTGTTCCCAACCCCGAGGCAGGCGCCGGAGCGCGGGCAGGTGCGCGGCTGCTCGCAGCCGGGACCCTCCACCCAGCGCAGGTGCGTACAGACCGCGCGGGAGGCTGCGGGGCCCCGTGTGCTTGTGGGTCGGGTTTGGGGCTTGGGGGTCGGGGGCGCTGCTCTCCTGGGGGTCGCCCCGGTCCCCGTGCACAGGACCGTCCTGGACCTGGGGGCTGGCCAGTTAGCCACTTTATGGGGGTGGGGGGAGATGCGTTGGGGAGCGCCAGCCCCAGTTCTGTTGCTCCCCATCCCCTGGGACGCCTGCCTCCAAGGGGTCAGGCTGCTCCCCTCCCTCCCAGTGGCTCTGTCCCCGATGCTGGTGCTGAAATGCGGGCGCTCGCCTGAGGGCTTGGAGGAGCGCGGGTCTGATTTGCGGTAGAAATAATAATGGGGAGGGCGTGAGGAAGGCAGGGGTGCAGCTGGAGAAGGGTCTTCATTGAGGAGGATTTGCTTGTCGTGTGCATCTTGGACTAAGGCAGTGGTCAGTGAACTCCTTAGTCCACAGAGCCAAATATCAACAGGACCACGATGGAAATTTCTTTGGAGAGCCACATTTTTTAAACGTAAACTTCTTCTAACGCCACTTCTTCAGGATAGATTCACCCAGGCTGTGGTATTTTGTGGAAGAGCCACACTCAAGGGGCCAAAGAGCCGCGTGTGTGTGGCTCTCGAGCTGCAGTTTGCCAACCATGGCCCTAGCCGGTTTGGCTCAGCAGACAGAGCATTGGCCTGTGGATTAACGGGTTCCGGGTTCGATTCTGGTCAGGGGCATGTACCTTGGTTGCAGGCTTCTCCCTGGCTTGAGCCCTCGTTGGGGTGTGTGCAGGAGGCAACTAATTGATGTGTTTCTCTGACATCGATGTCTTCTCTTCCACTCTCCCTAAAAAGAGAAATCAACGGAACAATATCCTTGGGTGAGGATTAACAAGAAAACAAACAAAACACACACACATATTTTTATTGATTTCAGAGAGAAAGGGAGAGGGAGAGAGAGAAACATCCGTGATGAGAGAGAATCATTGATCGTCTGCCTCATGCACCCCCCACCCTGGTTTTCCAGCCTGCAACTTGGGCCTGTGCCCTGACCAGGATCGAACCGTGACCTCCTGGTTCATGGGTTGATGCTCAACCACTGAGCCGCCAGCCAGGGTCCTGGTGGGTCCTTAGGAGTGATTGTGGGTAATGCTGCCTCACACACACACACACACACACACACAATCACACACATACACAATCACACACACACACAATCACACACACAATCTCACACACACAATCACACACACACACACACACACACACACACACACACACACACACAAACTACACCAAATGGCTGAGAAAAGATTGATGAACAAAAGACACATCATCCCACTTATTTACAGCCACGTCTCACTACCACCTTTTTCCTTTTTTTATTGTCTCCTTGTTGTGCCTGAGAAGGGGAGGGGCCTACAAGGCAGCATGTCCCTCCATTGCCGTTTCTCGTCGCGAAGAGACTGGAAGCGGCGTCTTTTGGAAATCCCCCTGACGTGTCCTCACGCACCTTTCTGAGCCTGGGCCCGTCTGATCCGGTGGCTTTTCCTTTTCTCTTGGCATTTTCTTCACTCCGGACACTTACCGCTCAGGGAGAGAGGTTGTTTGGTTGCTGTTTGTGAACCAGAAACGGAAAGTTAGCTTCTTTTTTTTAATTTTTAATATTTTATTGATTTTTTTACAGAGAGGAAGGGAGAGGGATAAAGAGCTAGAAACATCGATGAGAGAGAAACATCCATCAGCTGCCTCCTGCACATCCCCTACTGGGGATGTGCCTGCAACCAAGGTCCATGCCCTTGGCCGGAATCGAACCTGGGCCCCCTCAGTCCACAGGCTGACCACTATTCACTGAGCTAAACTGGGTAGGATGGAAAGTTAGCTTCTTTAATGCACCAAAAACACAACAAAATGTCCTTTCCACAGCAGCCGGCGGCAGGTGGCGGAGGGCCCGAGCTGAGGAGGCCCCGCCTCGCCTTTGCCCTTGGGAAGCAGTGCCTGTGCCCTGTGCCCTCTGCCCTCTGCCCTCTCTCCTGGCCACTCCAGGCCTCCAGGGCTGGGCAGGAAGGAGGGCATGTCCAGCAGCAGCACCGCCAGCATCTCGGAGGCCCGCAAGGCCGTGGAGCAGCTCAAGATGGAAGCCTGCATGGACCGGGTGAAGGTGGGCAATGCCCGCTCCCCGCCCGCCCCCCTGCCCTCGGCCCACACCCGCCAGCAGGTTGCTTCAGCATTGCCACCGTGCCCTCCACTGTCAGGGGTCAGGGTCAGGTGGCACCCAGGGTGAGGAGTCTCCAGGTGTACGCTGGGCCCACAGGGCTCCATTTAGCTCCATTGTCGTGCCAATAAGCAAGAAAAAGCTCAGCATGGAGCCCTAGCTGGTTAGGCACCTGCCCTGGTTGCAGGCTCCATCCCCAGTGTGGGGCTTGGTTAGAGCAAGCATGTCAAACTCATGGCGGGCGAGAGGGAGGGAGAGAGAAACATCAATGATGAGAAAGAATCATGCATCGGTTGCCTCCTGCACACCCCTCCAGTGGGGATGGAGCCCGCAACCCGGGCCTGTGCCCTGACCGGGAGTCGAACCATGACCTCCTCGTTCATCTGTCGATGCTCAACCACTGAGCTACTCCGGCTGAGCAGAGCGAACACCGAGTTTGACCTTGTCCAAGACCCCATCACCGAGGGGGCTGCCGCTTGGCTGTGCTCCCCACTCTAATCCTGCTTTGTTTTCTCGGGGGTGGAGGGCGGAGCCGGCAGAGACGTCAGAGAGGCTTGTAATGGATCCCGAGTGCTATTGTTCGAGGCCGGGGTTGCTGGGAAATAGGTGTGAGGATGCGGAGAACAAATGCAGGCTGTCACCGCCGGCATAGCAATTATGTCATCCCCTTGTCCTGGATGTGACGCTGGCAATTGCAACCTCTTCTCCCATCACCAAAGCTTGTAATTACAGTGCAACCACGGGGACTGTGTGCTGACGTGGTCTGTCTGAATCACCTCTTTCCCTCTGAAATGCAACGGTAAAATTCCACAGCTGCGTCAGGCTGTCGGTTCGTTTCTTTTATTTTTATTTATTTATTTATTTTAAAAAATACATTTTATTGATTTTTTACAGAGAGGAAGGGAGAGAGATAGAGAGCTAGAAACGTTGACGAGAGAGAAACATCGACCAGCTGCCTCTTGCACACCCCCTACTGGGGATGTGCCCGCAACCAAGGTACATGCCCTTGACCGGAATCGATCCCAGGACCTTTCAGTCCGCGATCGACGCTCTACCACTGAGCCAAACCGGTTTCGGCCGGTCACCTGCATTTTTAACCGGTTAATAGTCAATCTGCATTATTAACTGCAACGCCTCCTGTTCCGCCAGGTGGTGGGTCTGGAGCAGCATCTCTCTCCTCAGAGGCAGGTGTCCAAGCCTCCCTCCAGGCCGGGAACTGGCCCCTCACCCCACGCCCGTGCTGTGCCCCACAGGTGTCCCAGGCCGCCGCGGACCTGCTGGCCTACTGCGAGGCCCACGCCCGCGAGGACCCGCTCATCGTCCCCGTGCCAGCGTCCGAGAACCCGTTCCGGGAGAAGAAGTTCTTCTGCACCATCCTCTGACGCCCTCGGCAATGCAGCACCGCCTTCCCTTCTCTGGACGCCCCCCCCCCCCCCCGGGGAACACGCATGCACGTAGCTTTGGGGACCCCCTTCCCCACCCTGTCCGTCCCTGCTCAGCCACTCTCAGGGCGGCTGGCCTCCTCTGACCCTTGGGTTTCTTTTTTTTCTTTTTTTCTTTTTTTAATATTTTATTGATTTTGTACAGAGAGGAAGGGAGAGAGATAGAGAGTTAGAAACATCGATGAGAATCATCGATCAGTTGCCTCTTGCACACCCCCTACTGGGGATATGCCCGCAACCAAGGTACATGCCCTTGACGGGAATCGAACCCGGGTCCCTTCAGTCCCCAAGCTGACGCTCTATCCATTGAGCTAAACCGGTCTCGGCTGACCCTTGGGTTTCTTGTATTTAACGATGTCACTTTCTCTCTGCATTTTCACAAAATACAGTTTTGTTTATTTCAGAGAGGAAGGCACGGGGTGGGCAGTTGTCATTGTGTCCCCAGTTTGGCTGTCCAGCATCTGACCCTGCCCCCTTCCCGCAGGAAGGCATCCCCCCCTGCGAATCAGTTCAGTGGGATGCAGTGTCCCCGCCTCCGTGGTTGCTCAGGAGGGGAGGTCTTCCCTCTCCGGTGCACCCCATCCTAGCACCCACTGGCCAGTTTGTGGGAATTCTTCCAGCTGTTCCTCTGTTACACTCCAGTAAAAAGCTGGTTTGGTGGCCAGCCGTCAAGGATGCTTCCGTTACCTTCTTGTCTTTGCGGCACTTTGCTAAGCCTCCACTCCAGGGCATTGGAGGGTGTAGCTGACACATCTTGAAATGGGAGGTGCTGACCATCCAAGGCCAGGCAGACAGTTCCCTGGGCAGGGGTGAGGGTGGGGCTGAGCCTAGGGATTGGGCGCGGGGGCGGGGAGGGGGGGGGAATGCCAGGCTGTGGAATTCATGTCTTTTGGGGAAAACAGTGGGGAATCCCACGAGTCAGAACCCGATATCCCATCCGGTTCCTATTGGGATTCCCCACTTGGAGCAGCGTCCCTAACGGAGGCAGGTGGCATCCTCCCCCTCCTCCTGCCCGGGACCCTCAGGAATGGATGGAGGGGAGGGGATGGCGGCTGCCACAACCCCAACAGCACCTCCGGGTGAGGAGCCCCACCCAGGGCTCCAGCTGGCTGGGCGATGACGTGTCTTCAGAAAGCAGCCGGGTTCCCGGCCGCCCAGCCTGTAGACACCCCTTACTTGACGCTGTGCCCCGTCGGGGTCCTCGGGCTGACACTAGGGGGTTCGTGGCAGCCTCGCGGTGTCGGGCAGCGTGGGGGGCCCGCAGGACCCCCGCTTCGCACAGCAGCCATCGTCTGAGAACTACGGGCTCTTCTAGCTCCTCAGGCCTTCGCCAGGGCGGGCCTCACTCCCGCAGCAAGGGGGGTGGGGGGCTCCCCAGCATTCCCTCCTCCAAAGCCTGGGAGGGAGAGTGGGCGGCAAAGAAGGTGTGAAAAAAAAAAAAGACGCGCATGCTCAGTGGAGGACCTCGCGCGTCGCCTCCGCACGCTGCGAGTGACGCAAGCGAGAGCATGGGATTCTGGGAAATGTTGTTTCTGGGCCTCCAGACCCCTGGTGCGCGCCCCGCCTGGGCCGGAAGCAGGACTTCAACTCCCGGCAGGCCTGCGGGGCGCGCGAAATAAGGGGCGGGGCCAGCGAGAGCGGAGAAGGCGGGGCCGGGTGAGAGGGGCGTGGGGGATGCCCGGCGAGGGGCGGGGCTCCGGCCGGGGAAGCTGAGCATCCGGGGAGCGCGACCGGAAACCGCCAGGCACCTGGCGGGCGGCGGGGGCCACTTGGGGCCGTCGCACCGGCATCGACCACCGCCCCCTCGGGAGGTCCCCTGCCTCCGCCGCCGGGACGCGGGAGGGGGGCGTGAGGAGGGGCCGGCGGGGGCGGCCAATGCGAAACTGGCTGGTGCTGCTGGGCCCGTGCGTGCTCGGGGCGGCGCTGCACCTCTGGCTGCGGCTGCGCTCCCCGCCGCCCGCGCGCGCCTCCGCCGCGGCCCCCGCAGGTGAGGGCCGGGCCGGGCCGCCGGGGTGGGGCGGGCGCGGGGCGGGGTCCGGGTTGTGGGGGGCCGGGCCGCACCGGGGCCTTTCCATCCGTGGGCGGGAAAGTAGGGGGACTTGGGGGCGATCTTGTCTGCGCTCGTCGGGCCGCTGTCACCGCCGAACCCGACCCCCCCCCCCCCCCCCCCGATTCCCCGATTCCGACCCCGAGTCCTGCGGCCGCCCCAGGCCTGCCCGGCGCGGGGCCTCGCGTGCCCTTAGCCGCCAGCGGGTCCCTGTCTCCCGCCCCCCGAGGTGTGGGTCTGGTTGGGTGCAGACTGGGCGCTGGGTGCCGCGGGGCATGTCCGCGCGGGGGGCTTTGCTGTGAGGAATAACGGACCGTCGTATCCGGTCTTTGCAAACTTTGCGATCGCAGGCGAAGTCGGGGATAAACTAATGTGGACGCGAGCGCCAGGCGGGCCACAGCCGAGCGGACTTCTCGCTAATGCAATGCACGTGGGGTACCGCCTGTCCCGCATCCCGGTCTCATCCCGGCCTCATTCGGCCTCCTGGGCGGGAGACCTGGCTCCAGCCTCATCAGTACAGCGCTTTGCCCCGGGCAGGTGCCCATTGGTGTGGGTGAGTGTGTGTGTGTGTGAGAGAGAGAGAGAAGGGGTCCCATTGGTGTGTGTGTGTGTGTGTGTGTGTGTGTGTAGGTGTGTGTAGGGGTCCCTACTTTCCTTCTTTTCTAAGGGCTCACCCTAGGACCTTTAAAAACGCCTCGATGGCTCTTTTAAAGATGTGGTAATCGTCCTGCTATTTTGTTTGCTTGTTTTTTTTGTGTGTGTGTTTTTTAAAAAAATATATAATTTATTGATTTTTTAAAATATATTTTATTGATTTTTTTAAAGAGAGGAAGAGAGAAGGACAGAGTTAGAAACATCTATGAGAGAATCATCCATCAGCTGCCTCTTGCACACCCCCTACTGGGGATGTGCCCGCAACTAAGGTGCATGCCCTTTCAGTCCGTATGCCGATGCTCTATCCTTTGAGCCAAACCGGTTTCGGCTAACTTGTTGATTTTAAAATATATATATTTTATTGATTTTTATTTTTTTTTACAGAGAGGGATAGAGTGTTGGGAACATCGATGAGAGAGAAACATCAATCATCGAAACATTGATCCTGCACACCCTCCACTGGGAGTCGAGCCAGCAACCCAGAATCATGACCTCCTGGTTCATAGACTGATGCTCAATCACTGAGCCACACCGGCCGGCTGGGCCACACTCCCTGAATTTTAGAGAGAATGGTGGGACTGTGGCGGGTGCCTTTGCTAGGGAGGTGTTTGGGGAGGGCGAGCTGGTGGTGTGTATGATGATTGATCTCCGTAGATCTGTGACGAACTCGTATGGTTTCCCCATTTTCAAGATTTCTGCCTACTTGTGAGATGTCATCTGAGAGGAATTCGATTTAGCACAAGACTCATGCTGGGGTGAAGTAACAAGTATCTCTATTCCAATTAGAATGGAAGTTTCTCCAGGAAACATGCCTGTTGTGGAAAACGGGTCTCTACACAAACATCCCCGGGTTCCTATCGTGGTTACAACGTGCCCTTCGAGTTTCTTATTCTTTTCACTGGCCCTTTGCAGAAAAAGGCCAACATGTTTTTGTCTTTTGATTAAGTACCTGGATCCTGTGGCATATACAAACACTGCACTTACTGTAGGAAAGGTCGTTTATTTTTGGACACACTTTGGATCCGTTCCCACCATCGGAGGAAGAGCTGACATGGATCCTCAGAGCTATTTATAAGCTTGTCGCTCTCAGGCTTTGAAACCGTGACAGAAACAGGGACAGGGTAATCTTTCCCTTCATTCTCCCTTGTACGGACACATTTTTAAAATGTCATCCCGCCCGTCAGACCTTAGGACAGTGAAAAAGGAGCCATTCGCCGACTTGTCACTTGATTTTTTTTTTTTTTTTCTAGAAACATCGCTTCCCGCCTTCATTCTTTAGAATATTTAGTAAGCCATACGAGGTTTGCTGGCTGTGGGGTTTATTGGTGTTAATAAGGGTGCTGGTACTTCGCAATACAGGACTTTCTCAGCTTCATCCCTCAAACCTACACGCTAAATATTAAGCTGGGACTTCACCCTGAAAGCATATTTTTACTGTTTTAGTTGCTGTTGAGAGCTTACTGTTTCCCTGGTACCAAACCAGTACCTCTGTGCACATTCTCATGGAATTTACAACTCCAGGAGAAGTAGAGGTATGTCCATTCATAGTGAGGGGAACGGAGGTTCAAGAAGTTAAATAAGTTTGTTGTTGTTAATCCTCACCCGAGGATATCTTTCCATTGCTTTTTAGGGAGCGTGGAAGAGAGAGGGAAAGACAGAGAGAAACATCGATTGGAGAGAAACACATCGATGGGTTACCTCCTGCAGGAGCCCCAACCAGGGCCTGGGCCGGGAAGGGGCCTGCAATGTGCCCTTGACTGGAATGGAATCCGGGACCCTTTGATTGCAGGCAGACGCTCTATCCACTGAGCCACACTGGTTAGGGCTTAAGTAACTTTTTTATTTTATTTTATTAAATATATTTTATTGATTTTTTACAGAGAGGAAGAGAGAGGGATAGAAAACTAGAAACATCGATGAGAGAGAAACATTGATCAGCTGTCTCCTGCACCTCCCCCCCCCCCCCACCACCTCCACCGGGGATGTGCCCGCAACCAACATACATGCCCTTGACCGGAATCGAACCTGGGACCCTTCAGTCCACAGGCCGACGCTCTATCCACTGAGCCACACGGGTTTCGGCAAGACATGGCATTTCTGATGTGTTGTTGCTTGTTTCTAGATCCACCGGCCTCGTTTCCTCCGGGGAAAGACAGCCACTATGACCTGGTAGTCGGTGTGTTGTCAGCCCGCCATAACCATGAACTTCGAGACGTGATCCGGAGCACCTGGCTGAGGCACTCCCGCCAGCACCCCGCCCTCAGCCAGCGGTAGGTCCCTCTGAGCTTACGGGGTGGAAGAGGCAGCCTCTTTTCCTGGAGGAAGGGCCATTGCGCTCTGCTTTCCTCCATGTAGCTGAGCCCGAAGGCAGTGTGACCAGGGTTTTAAGCCAAAAGGTAGTTGGGGGAGAAGGGCCAGCCTTGGGCAACGGGAGCAGCCTCTGAAGTGGGGACAGCACGCTGGGTGTCAGGTGCAGCAGGAGAAGCTGACTGCCTTTGCTTTTTATTTTACTTTTAAAATATATTTTACTGATTTTTTTACAGAGAGGAAGGGAGAGGAATAGAGAGTTAGGAACATTGATGAGAGAGAAACATCGATCAGCTGCCTCCTGCACCCCCCCCACCGGGGATGTGCCCGCAACCAAGGCGCATGCCCTTGACCGGAATCGAACCCGGGGCCCTTCAGTCCGCAGGCCGACGCTCTGTCCGCCGAGCCGCAGCGGTCAGGGCGACTGCCTTTGCTTTTCAGCGGTGTGAGCTGTGGCTCCGTGTTCTCCCGGGCTCCCCTGTGTGCGGGAGGCAGCGGAGGGCCGGCCGGGAGCCACTGGTGACCAGCACCTTCGTGCTGGCTGCCTCGCTGGGGGGGCCGGGAGAGTGACGTCAGAATGAATGCTGGTCAGTCCCATTGCCGAAGCGGGCAATGAGCACACGCAGGCGGGGCTGGGTGACCGTGCTCACCCCCCCTACCCCCCGCAGGGTGCTGGTCAAGTTCATCATCGGCGCCCGGGGCTGCGAGGTGCCCCTGGAGGACCGGGAGGACCCCTACTCCTGCCGGCTGCTCAACATCTCCGACCCGGGTGAGCCTCCTCGTGTGTACACGTGTGCGCGCAACACCTATTAAAGGAGCGCTGACAAATAAATCCTTTACTTAGCCGTGCTGAGAACTTGGCCGTCACATTTTAGAATGATTGTTTTCCCTACGAGCAGCCGTGCTTCGGGAGCGTCTAGAAAGCTTTGCCGGTGGGAAGGGTTCCGTGACAGGCAGTGACCCGACCGTCGTCCAGGGACCCCCTGACTGCGGCCAGTGATGGTGTCACCTCCTCCCCACCCGCTCCCTCCCCAGTTCTGAACCAGGAGATCGAGGCCTTCACGTTCCCGGAGGACGCGCCCGCGGGCTCCTCCGAGGACCGCGTGGTGAGCGTGAGCTTCCGCGTGCTGCACCCCATCGTGATCACCAGCCTCGGGGTGCTGGGCGGCGCCGGCGCCGGGGGCTTCCAGAGGAACATCACCGTGCGGCTGTACCAGGCCGAGCAGGAGGTGAGCGACCCCGCCTCCTGTTCCGGAGCGCACCGCCTCCTCCTGGCGCCTGGCAGGCGGAGACGTCACCCCCTCCCTGCCCGTCGGCACGTTAGGCTGCAGGGCACGGGGCCTCCGGAACCAGCCCCCACGTGGTCAGGAACGCACACAGTGCTCTCAGAGTGCCCTTCGTCCGTTTATTTGTAACCCTTCGCGGGTAAACACAATCAGTTGTCTTAATGCCTCCCCTTCCCCGGTGCCTCTCATGTCAGGGAGGTGGCTTTAAGGTTTTGAAGATTATTCTTAGCATTCTTAGAAACTTGTGACGATTTTTGTTATCTTAGCCATCTTTACTTAACAGCCATGGTGGAATAGAGACCCCAAATGACACCTACACCACAGTGGGACCGTGCTAGTGACCAGGATGGGCCACTGAGGACTTAGCGGGCCATGTGAGCTATGCAAATACCTTGTGAGCAAATACCCTGCGAGCTATGCAAATACCCTGTGAGATATGCAAATACCCTGAGAGGTATGCAAATACCTTGTGAGATATGCAAATACCCTGTGAGGTATGCAAATACCTTGTGAGGTATGCGAATACCCTGTGAGGTATGCGAATACCCTGTGAGGCCTGTAAGTATCCTGTCCCGAAGGAAGTCTCCCTCCTTGTCTCCGTGTGCAGGAGGCCCTCTTCGTGGCGCGCTTCAGCCCCCCGAGCTGTGGGGTGCAGGTGAGCCGGCTGTGGTACAAGCCCGTGGAGCAGTTCGTCTTACCCGAGGTGCGGGGCGCGGGGCGCGGGGCACCCAGCAGCCTTTGCACGCTGGGCCGGGCTTGGGTGTAATGTGATGTAGTGTATAGTGTGCACACGTGAGGGGTGTATGTGATGATGCAGTGTATAGTGTGCACACACAGGGATGTAATGTGATGATGCAGTGTATAGTGTGCACACACAGGGGTGTAATGTGATGATGTAGTGTATAGTGTGCACACAGAGGGGTGTCATGTGATGGTGTAGTGTATAGTGTGCACACAGGGGTGTAATGTGATGATGTAGTATATAGTGTGCACACATGAGGGGTATATGTGATGATGCAGTGTATAGCGTGCACACAGAGGGGTGTAATGTGATGATGTAGTGTATAGTGTGCACACAGAGGGGTGTCATGTGATGGTGTAGTGTATAGTGTGCACACGTGAGGGGTGTATGTGATGATGCAGTGTATAGTGTGCACACACAGGGGTGTAATGTGATGATGTAGTGTATAGTGTGCACACAGAGGGGTGTCATGTGATGGTGTAGTGTATAGTGTGCACACAGGGGTGTAATGTGATGATGTAGTATATAGTGTGCACACATGAGGGGTATCATGTGATGGTGTAGTGTATAGTGTGCACACAGAGGGGTGTAATGTGATGATGTAGTATATAGTGTGCACACATGAGGGGTGTCATGTGATGATGTAGTATATAGTGTGCACACATGAGGGGTATATGTGATGATGCAGTGTATAGCGTGCACACAGAGGGGTGTAATGTGATGATGCAGTATATAGTGTGCACACACAGGGGTGTAATGTGATGATGCAGTGTATAGTGTGCACACACAGGGGTGTAATGTGATGATGTAGTGTATAGTGTGCACACAGGGGTGTAATGTGATGTAGTGTATAGCGTGCACACACGGGTGTAATGTGATGATGTAGTGTATAGCGTGCACACAGGGGTGTAATGTGATGATGTAGTGTATAGCGTGCACACAGAGGGGTGTAATGTGATGTAGTGTATAGTGTGCACACACAGGGGTGTAATGTGATGATGCAGTATATAGCGTGCACACACAGGGGCGTAATGTGATGATGCAGTGCATAGCGTGCACACAGAGGGGTGTAATGTGATGATGCAGTGTATAGTGTGCACACACAGGGTGTAATGTGATGATGCAGTGTATATTGTGCACACTTGAGGGGTGTGTTCATTGTGGAATAGAATGCTAACTAGTGTGTCTTAGGAAAAAATAAAAATATAAAATAAAAAAAACAAACCCTCAATGACAACCATAAAGAAGCCTCACCTTTTCTCTTTCGCCAAAGAGCTTTGAAGGCACCATCGTGTGGGAGAGCCAGGACCGGCAGGGCCTGGAGGCCAGAGCGCTCGGCAGCGTGGCAGTCCACGACGGGGGCGGCGTGCTCAGGGTCACCGCGGTACGTCCCGGGGTCAAGGTTGTCGCGGGCATTTTTACACCAGCCCAGACGGCATGGGGTAACAGTCTGTGGTTAGAATTCGTAGAAAATGGTGTGTAGTCTGCTGTTCTCTGGTTTTGTCACCACACACCGCGCACCCCACACCCGGAGCCGGGACTGAGAGCCTGGAGCTGGGAATGAGAGCTGCCTGCTGAGGGGTGTATAGCGTGCACACGTGAGGGTTTCATGTGATGATGTAGTGTGTAGTGTGCACACGTGAGGGGTGTATGTGATGATGTAGTGTGTAGCGTGCACACAGAGGGGTGTATGTGATGATGCAGTGTAGCGTGCACACGTGAGGGTGTCATGTGATGATGCAGTGTGTAGCGTGCACACGTGAGGGGTGTGTGTGATGCAGTGTGTAGCGTGCACACGTGAGGGGTGTGTGTGATGCAGTGTGTAGCGTGCACACATGAGGGGGGGTGTGATGATGATGCAGTCTGTAGCGTGCACACATGATGAGGACACACTGGGCGCTTGCACTCGTGTCTTTCAGGCCGGGGAGGGTGCGTGGCCCCCGGAGCCCCCGGAAGGAGTGGAGGGCGTGGCCGGCGGCTTCATCTACACGATTCAGGGTGAGTGCTGGCCGCAAGTCGGAAAGGACCGAGTCTCCCGCTTTTCTCCTTTCTGCTACGGTCGTACATCTCTGGAACATACTTTTGATTAGAACGTGTTGTACTTGGTATTTATGGCCTCATATTCCATCTATCAATTAGCGACGTGTTTTTTCCGGCATCATTTTTCTGTGCCATTTCTCATAACACGCAGGAGCAGGCTGACTTTTAACCTGCCTGTCCCCCTGTGACACCACGGCTTAGCCATTGCCGTGGGGGACGCGGCCGGAGGCTGGCCCCGTTTTTCCCGTCACACACGGTGCTGCAGTGAGCTGCCACGTGACTCCGTGTGACGACGTCTGCGGGGACTTGTCACCCGCGGGGCACCCCGAGCGTCCGCCCCCCTCCTCCACGCTCCCGCCCCGGGCGCAGAGCGCAGGGCGCAGCAGGGCACGGTTCTGGCCCCGAGTGGCCGTGGCGTGTGCCTCAGCTCCCGGCCTTCCCTTCCAGAAGGCGATGCTCTCCTCCAGAACCTCCGCTCGCGCCCCGGCCGCCGCGCCGAGCACCTGCGCAGCCTGCGCGCGGAGGACGCCGCGCTGCGGGGGGAGAGCGGCCGCCACGGCGACATTGTCTTCGTGGACGTGGTGGACACCTACCGCAACGTGCCCGCCAAGCTGCTCCGCTTCTACCAGTGGTGGGTGTCCCTGCCGGCGCCGCCACGGGCTCAGGGCCTGTGGGTGCAGAAACGCTGAGATTTCTTACTTTTTAAATATATTCTTACTGATTTCAGAGAGGAAGGGAGAGGGAGAGAGAAACATCCAGGATGAGAGAGAATCGTGGATCAGCTTCCTCCTGCACGCCCCGCCCTGGGGATGTGTCCGCTACCCAGGCATGTGCCCTTGACCAGTATCGAACCCGGGACCCTTCAGTCCACAGGCCGATAAGCCAAACCAGCCAGGGTGACCACTGAGATTTTTTCCCCCCCCAAAATATATTTCTTAATTGATTTCAGAGAGGAAAAGGGAGAGAGAGAAACATCAATGAATGATAAGAGAGAATCATTGATTGGCTGCCTCCTGCATGGCCCTACTGGGGAGGGAGCCACTGTAGCTCAGGCCACCAGTGGGCCTTCTGGCTGTGAGTGGGGCCCAGGCAGGGGAGGGGAGGGGTGCCGAGGGGCACGGAGGCCCAGGTGTGCGGGTCGTGGGGCGGTTTCAGTGAAACGCGAGCAGCGTGACCACCTCGGCTGCCGTTTCCTCGCACGGACGCCCTGACCCCCGTCCCTCTCTCGCCGCCAGGACCGTGGGAGCCACGAGCTTCGATCTGCTGCTGAAGACGGACGACGACTGCTACATCGACCTGGAGGCCGTGCTCCGCAGGCTCGCCGGGGGCTCCCCGCGGGGCCCGAGCGTCTGGTGGGGAAAGTAAGTCCGGCCACGCACCGCCGTCCGCGCAGGCCGGACCGGACTTCTCCTCCTAAGGAAACGCGGCTGAGACGGGTGTCCTGACCGGGCTCCCGGGTGACTGTTTGTTATTAATCTGTGATTAGAGGAAACACTTTAAAGTGAAAATCCTCCAGCTACTGAACGAAGGCGGGAAAGTGCCTTGTCTTGACCCTCCTGCCTCGAAGTCAGTGGCTCTCAGGTCAGCAGCTGCCGCAGTTAGATGTTAGAATGTCCCCTTCCGGAAGCTTCCTTCTGCAGGAATGCACTTCGGGCCAGTGGATTTCTTAAGAAAAACACGCACAGGATGACCTGGTACTTTCCATTCAGAAACTACGCACGCAACTTTGAGAGACCTTAAATGTATTGGTTTCATGTAAAGTCATCCCACCTAGGTCATTCCTCCCTCAGACTAAAGGAAGCGCTCACGCTGCCTCCCTCGCTCCGTTCCCGGTGGTGGCGGGACGCGTGAGCCGAGCAGAACGGGGTGGGACGTGTGTCAGGTGCACAGAGGCGGCCACTCACTCCCTGTCCCTCTCAGTTTCAGGCTCAACTGGGCCGTGGACCGGACGGGGAAGTGGCAGGAGCTGGAGTACCCCAGCCCCGCGTACCCCGCCTTCGCGTGCGGCTCGGGGTACGTGGTCTCCCGGGACATCGTGCACTGGCTGGCCGGCAACGCGGGCCGGCTGAAGACCTATCAGGTGGGCAGGCTGAAGGCCCACCAGGTGGGCGGGGCCGGCTGAAGGCCTATCAGGTGGGCGGGGCCGGCTGAAGACCTATCAGGTGGGCAGGCTGAAGGCCCACCAGGTGGGCGGGGCCGGCTGAAGGCCTATCAGGTGGGCGGGGCCGGCTGAAGACCTATCAGGTGGGCAGGCTGAAGGCCCACCAGGTGGGCGGGGCCGGCTGAAGGCCCACCAGGTGGGCGGGGCCGGCTGAAGGCCCACCAGGTGGGCGGGGCCGGCTGAAGACCTATCAGGTGGGCGGGGCCGGCTGAAGGCCCACCAGGTGGGCGGGGTCGGCTGAAGGCCCACCAGGTGGGCGGGGCCGGCTGAAGACCTATCAGGTGGGCAGGCTGAAGACCTATCAGGTGGGCAGGCTGAAGGCCCACCAGGTGGGCGGGGCAGGCTGAAGGCTCACCAGGTGGGCGGGGCCGGCTGAAGGCCCACCAGGTGGGCGGGGAGGGCTCCTGCCTGAGGGGCACCGCCCAGCCAGCTTCCTGGCCCTGCCCCCCGGAAGCAGGCCCGCCCTGCGGGAAGAGCACGTGCTTTCTGTAAGGACCCTCATTAGGCACACTCCGCCCCCCACCGGTGGCTCTGAGTTCTGTTCCTGGCGCTTTGGGAGCCTCACTGCGGCTCCCGCCTGTTCACTGGCCCCCGGGGGAGTGAAGACTGAGCACTGCTTCTGGGGGGTGACCCTGGTGACCGTGCCGGCCCTCAGCGCCGCCCAGTGGCCGGTCCAGCGCGTTGCGTGTCTTGTAGGATGTGCTGTTTCACCAAACGGCCACCAGCTGTCACTATGTGTCCGTGTTCACACCGCCAGGGGTTCGTGTGAGATGACAGAACAGAGGCAGAGGGTCACTTATCACCCACTGACAGGTGTGGCGGTGGCTGGGCAGATGCAGAGCGTTTAACCTTCTCATGCCTGTCCAGGGTGAAGATGTGAGCATGGGCATATGGATGGCGGCCATCGGACCTAAGAGATACCAGGTAAGCGGGTGTTGGGGGCTGGAGAGCCGGGGGTGGGGGCTGTGTCGCACCTCGGGCGGGAGCCGCGGAGAGAAGGTCTGGCGTTGTCGCTGTGCTGTAACCCGCCTGGTTCCCAGGCAGCATGCCCGGCCGTGTCCTTAGGCGCTGACTCCATTCCCGGCGGCTTTGTCTCCCCAGGACAGCCTGTGGCTGTGCGAGAAGACCTGCGAGCCGGGCATGCTGTCCTCCCCGCAGTACTCCCCGCAGGAGCTCGCCCACCTGTGGAGGCTGAAGGAGCGGTGCGGGGACCCGTGTCAGTGTGAGGCCGGATGAAGGGGACTCTGGGGGAGGGGCCCGGGGTCCGAGGGAACCCCGGGGAGCAGGTGCGGCTCCTGGCTCGGTGTGGGCTCCCCCGGGCCCCGTTGTGTGGCTTCATGTTTGCAGTTTCCTCTGAGAATCAACCCGGATGCTGTAGCATAACAACTTTATCTATATAGCGGGAGATCTGAAAAATACCAAATAGTTTGTAAATCCTGCTGTGCCATTCTAGTTAGCTTCACTAGCTACCGTTTTTGGTTAAAAGGCGGCTTGTTCAGAAACCTTGAGTGACTGAGAGTTGGACTTTCGGCCTGGATTGCAGACTAGCTTCATATAACACGGTTAGGACAATGACATGAGACGAAAAACAACTCTCACAAATGCTGTGTGATGCTGTGGTCACATGTACCAAAGTGTGGGTTTCTGGAAATGACGTCACTCTCTGTGGGTGTCTGAGGCAAAGGGGGCAGTTAGACCTGGGGGAGAACCCATTAATTCTCGGTTCTGGACCTTGGTTTTAAAGTTCATTTATTATTAATGGACTAATGCACGTGTTCTTTTGCCGTTTCACACAAATCCTGGGAGTCACCGTTTAGTGCTCCTACTAAAAAGGCGACATTTTAGTGACTATAAGTAAAATCAAATACTCTCAGGGTGATAGTGCCAGAGCGAAGGCTATTTTTCAATAGTGGACGCTTTGAAAGAATTACGCTTGCCTGCTGTCACTGCCAAGTTTACCTGATATGAGTGGGTTTTTGTCAGGGCTGGGATCACTGACAGAGTACAGGCTTCTGTAGGTTAACTGCAGGAGAAAGCATGTAACATACGTGAGAAGTGCTCTTCCTCTGGGCACTGCGTTCGGGAGGAGCGACCGTAGCATGTCTGCTGTACACAGTGGAGGGTGTGCCCCTAAGCTTAAGGGACATTTCCCTAAATGACGAACCAGATCACTGTAGTAGCTTTTAAACCAATAATATCAATAGAGGATTCCGTTACACTGGTCTTATGACAAACATAAGCTGTGTTCAGATCTTATTAGACTAGCTATGTTCTACTTAGTATTGGGATCTTCACACAATGAAATGCAATTAGAACTATAAACATGAAATAGAAACAGAAAACCGTTAGTCGGCACAAAGCCTTTATTGTCGCTATTATGTACAAGCCCAGAAACAGTCTCTTTCCCACCGAAGAGGACAGCCTCGGAGAGAACTGCTCCCGGAGGTCATTTCTTGCCCGGGATCCGCAGTCCTGTGTCACCATCGCACTAACAGACAGTCTCCGCTTTCCACAGAGTAGAACTGCAAGGACTGCTGGTCGTTCTCCAGCTCAATCTCTCTGCCCGGCATCTGGAGTCGGAACAAAGTGGGGGGGAGGGATTCAGACATCAGAGCTTAGGACACGCCCCGCCCCCCAGACGGGAGAGTTGGTCACGGAGACGCAGGCACAGCCACCACTGCTGTGGGCTGGCTGAGGGCTCCGGGTGCTCACCTTGGGGCTTTCGTAGGCCAGCAGCAGGTCCGACACGGGGACCTTGAGGAGACGGGACAGCAGCCCTTTCACCTTCTGAACCGTCATGGAGTCTGTCAGAGGAAACAGTGCGCTCAGTGACGGCCACCTGTCACAGGAGCTCAGGGCAGGCCCGCAGGTGCAGGGACAGCTGCCCTGTCACCTCAGCGTCGTCCACCCGAGTGACCGAGGAGGCCCAGGCCCGGGGAGCAGACCGGCCTCGGCTCTCAGAGCCAGTGCTCGGCCCGTGCCCTTGTCAGCGACTTTTCAGTCCTCTGGCATCCGATACCCCCTCCCTCATCCCTGTCACCAGAAGTCATGTTCTCTGCAGAGGAGTGAATGTGAGAAAAGTCGAACTTCTCCTTTTAAGTCTGTGGTTATGAAGGCCTAACGAGACCACTGCAGGCCTCTGTGAAGCGGAGTCTCACGTGGTGTGCGGGCCCCTCCCGCAGGCGGCCGGCAGTTATGCGGGTCCCTGTGCTGGACACTTGCGCGGGGACCACAGGCCTGGACTGCGGCCCCAGGAGAAATGCGTTGGTTTGTCAGAAAGCGCTATGTTTGAACCCTCTCCAAAGACAGTTGTGGTAACAGTGGCTATTTTGATTATGAGAAACACAGTCTCTCTGAAGCTTTAGCCGGAGGTGCAGCAATAGTGCGGTGTTCCTACAGATGTCACAGGGATTCCAATATTTTTCTATCAGAGACCATTTTTGTAAAGGCTGTCTGTTTTTATGCAACTTGTGATAATAAATGTTCTTTATTTTAGAAAAAGCGCCTTCTGAGTGTGTGTATTGAGTAGCCAGCAGACACTCAGCATTTCGATCAGCGTGAGCTGCTCAGGTAGGCGGGTCCTCGGAAAACCTGGGTGCGGCTTCACTGGGGAGGCCCTGGGGCTGCACACAGGCCGTGCCTTTGCTAACACGTGAGCACACGCAGGGGGCTCCTCCCGGTCAGCGTTCGGGGGTGAGACAGCTCGGCCTCCTGCCTCAGAGCAGCAGGAGCCGGTGACAAGCGGTAAGCTCCGCCGACACGGACGCCGGGAGCAGAGGGCCGTCCTTACCCGGCAGCTGTCTCTCCAGGGTGCTGTGGTCGGGCCGGTCAGGACAACTGATCTTCAGGGCTGGGAGGAAACGGGAGAAAGGCTGGCTGAGACCTGCTTCCTGCGGGCTCCCAGGGCACCTGACCGTTAGGGGGTTTTACCAAATGGCGCGGGTGCTGGTGCGGCCTGGCTCCGCCCAGACTGGCCGAGCTGCAGTTTAAAAGTGCCGTGAATACTTCACCCGCATTCGGTTACTGACAGCCCAGGGGCTGGGCCGACATTCTACTGCTTTCCCTTCCCCTAAGGTACGGTGACCGGACATCCCGCTTTTGGCAGGACAGTCCTGATTTTTAACAATGTGTCCCGCGTCCGTGGGACGCAGGATAAATTGTTCAAAAGCGGGACGTCCGGTCACCTTACCTTAAGGGCATCCTTCCTGACAAGTTCATGAGGTTTTCACGTTAAGTCACACGTTTCCAAATCACAATTCAGTTCCCTGTTCAAGCACTCCCCACATCTGCAGCACCATTAAATGGGCCGAAAGCAAAGGATTGCTAACATGTTCAATACAGGAATTTGCAAGGGTTTGAGAATTGATCATTTCTTTTAAAAGCCCACGTACGCGGGCCCGTGAGAGAAACCATCTCTCTTAGGCTGCCGCTCTGTTGCGGCACCTAAGGACTCGAACATAAAGCAGCTGGCTTTGGGTTTGGGGTTCTTACTTAGTAGCTGGTTTTTGAGCAAAAATGGTTGCTGTGTTTTGAGCTCCCCATCTTCAGGCGCACCGTATTCTATTTAAGAAATAAAAAACGATGAGTGGCAATCCACAGGCCGCTGGAAGGGAAACAGTGGCAGGTAAGTGTCCACTCGGGACCAGCTCAGCAGCAGCTGGTCCTAACCTGGGTCACTTCCTGTGGGACCCCCTCCCTCCCTCCCTCCGTGTGACACCACTGTCCTCAGAGACAGGCAGTCCTGACAGACCAGCCCGCTGAGGCTGTGCGTCCACACACTTGAAGCGTCACCGCTGCTAACACTTCCCTTTCGTTCTGAACTTGAGAGAGGAACCTCGAGCAATTTGGGACACAACTCACACCTTCACCCAGTTCCAGCCAGATTCAGCCACGCAGGGCGGGCTCGGAACCACCCCGCCAACCAGGTCCCTGGAAACGCAGCTGCAGTCTGACATGGGGTGTAGGGACAGCAGCATGGACGCTCCCATTCGTGCTGGGCCCTCGGGGGCGAAGGCCGAGCCGGACCTGCAGGGCCGCTCAGCACCTCCCCTCCCTCCCCCACGTGACCGAGTTCACGGAAAGCAGCCAGGAAAGTGTGCCAGCGAAGGGAGTCACGCGACGGCCATTCCCACGGCAGCTCTCCTTCCTCTCAGAAGGACGGCCCCGAGGCGATGCAGCGAGCTCCCATCAGGAAATGTGTGAGAGAGGAAGTCACGTGGAAGTGACATTTGGAATGGTCATGAAGGCCAATCAAAGCGGAAAGGAGTCGGGGGCAGAGGCCTGAGGGGGCAGCTGCAGGCTGCAGAGAGGGAGCACCTGGCACAGAGTCCTGGAGGCCGAGGGGAGCTGGCACAGGTGCCAGCGCCTACGTCCACCTTCGGCCGCTCCGCTTCTTACATCCCCCGGGGCACCGGCCGCCGGCCCTGGGTCGGCGCGGCACCTACACGATCCCAGCTTCCTCCTGCCGTCTGTCCTCGGAGGACAGTTAGGATCTGCTCCCATCTTGCCCAAGTCGCCCCGGGAAAGTGCCCGGCGCCTGGGAGAGCAGCCCGGCCGGGCCCGCTGCCAGGGAAGGCGGGACGGGTACGCACTGCGGCAGAGGGCCTGGTAGCGGGGGTGGGCGGCCAGGAACGCCGCGCTGGGCCTGTCCTGGCCGGGGTCCTGGTGCCCGCCCGCCGCCTTCCACTCCTTCCCGAACGCCTTGCGGTAGTCCAGCTCGGCCCCGCGCCGCTCCTCGGGGCGGACCTGCGGGAGAAGAGCACACGGGTCCGTGAGACCGTTCTGAGCGTGCGTGGCACCCCGTCTTCCTCACACTGGCAGGAACCAGGTAACCATTACATTTTTACCCTACTCCAAAAGAAAATTGTTCCCTACTTTTCTCCTTGAGAGTATTGGCCCAGGAGCTGGCTTCCGGACCATGCCAGGGGCCTGAGGGCCCGAGGTGTGGGGATCCCCCTGGAGGAGCCCACGGGGGAGGGGGGGAGGGGGCGCACATGCCCAGCCAGCGGCTCCAAAGGCTCCGCCTCCTGTTCACAAGAAGGGGAGGGTCCACAGGCTCCTGGTTCTGTCTTTTTTCTGCCTCCATCGCTCTCCCTTCCGGCCCCCCAAGGAGGAGAAGGAAGAACCCTGTGTCCTTCACTCTCCTCGGGTGACAACGAATCGACCGGGTGACAGGTCACTGCTCAGTGCGGTTCCACTGTCACTGACATGCCCAGGAGGCCACTGTACCGCTTCAGGGAAACCAGGTCTGACCCCTCTGCGATATTCACAGTGTCTCCTGCTCTTTCCGTCACTCGTTCTCTGGTCTCGAGGCCAGCCAGCTGTGCCCACCTCGCATCGGTTGAGGGTCCGCAGCTGGCCGATCTTAGCGATGATGAACTGCAGGCTGGTCCTGGCCGCGCTGCCCACGGTCAGGGGGTTCCTGAGGCAGGACAGTGAGTGCAGGCTCCGCAGCTTGTCCAGCTCGTCGATGAAGGACCACTGACGCCCAGGAGGAGAGAAGCAGGTGTCAGGCCCACGTTTCAGAGGATGCATGTGTGCGTTTATCTGAGGAATTACACTCCGAGGAAGCATTTCTCAGAAAATGTAAAATGTTTTTCCATCAAAGGAGCCTAAGAGGGGGCGTGAGGGAGGAGAGGGGCGCCCGGAAGAGGCTTACTTGTGATATCCGATTGTCGTCCACGACCAGAGACTGCAAGGCTGGGAACATTGCTGTTTTGGACCCTGGAGGAAGGAGAGTGAGGTTACCCAGCGGAAGTGAGAGCGGCAGCTGAAGCATGGAGCACAGGGGAGGGGAGTGTTAGAATCTCACGTACCAGCCCCGGCATCCGGGAAATGGAGAGAAGAAATCCCGACGTCACTGAGGATGAGTCGTTCTAACCTGGAGTCACAAATGTTCAGTGTGATCGCACGGGGCAAGGCCAAGTGCTGAGGGCTCTCAGCCAGACTAGGTCTAAATTTTTTGCTAGACTAGGTTTTCATCCCAGGTAAAACGCTTAGAGACCGTGAAATCCAACTCCGGGCGTGTACATGATGTCCTCCTGGCTCCACAGTCACCTAACAGTCCTGTGTCTACTGCTGTGCTGGGAGCCACATGGGTCTCAGGACAGACGCCAGACTAACTACTTTAGCAGCAGGGCCAAATCATCCATTCTTCGCTCACCTAGTCCCTGCACAGCAGCTTATGTTGTATGTGGCTCACAAGTGAGCTCT